ATCTTAGCAAGCTTGATCGTGAAATTTAATGTTCTCTCTCCTTCCTGGTTGTACTTCTCCAAATATGGAGCTCTGTTTGTGTGTGTTCATGTATGCACATGCATGTGGAAGCTGGAGGCAAACCTCAAATGTCATTTTCAGATGGCTTCCACCTTGGCTTTTGAGACAGGATCTCTCAGTGTCCCAGAACTCACCAAGTGTGCCAGGCTGGCTGGCCAGTGAGCCCAGGGATCCTCCTGGCTCAGCCACCACTCTTGGCTCTTTAGGTGATGCTGGGGATCTTACCCAGCTAAGACCTCTCTCCGGTCGCTGTCACTCACGTTTAACCCTTTAAAATGAGCCCTGCTTTGGCTTTGCTTTGGTTCTTGTTTTAGAAGAGGCCTCCACTGCCCCCTCTGAGCTCAGATGTCCAGACCAGGCTGAACAACCCTCCTGCATGTCTTCCCCCTGACACAGGTGCAGGTAGAAGCCTTCATTTCCTGACTGGTGCGGTTGTGGAGGGTCAGGGTCTCCACCGACGTCCACTGTGCTACAGTTCAGAGCTGACACTGCAGTTTCTCAGGGTTATTTTGGGCCCTGCATGGTCTACAAATATATTTCCTCTTACACCTCCTCCGTGGAGGCAGAAAGGCGCCAGCCAGCTCCTCGATCTGCCAAGAACCTTCACAGAACTGAACATTCCCAGTCTTGGGCAATATGCCAAGCTCCAACTTTGGTGTCTGAGGCCTATTTTCCAGGTTTGTTGTTTTTGTCCCTCTGAGGCATTCCTTACGTGGCCTGTTTTTCCTAATAGTTACTTTCCTGGGCTACCTGAAATCGGCCTCTCAGAAGGCCAGGAGCCACATGCAGTGGCCTAGGGAAGCATTCTCTGCGCCGACATTATGCTCACCCTCGGGCCTGGCTTCCGATCATCCCGTGGCCAGTTCTTGCTGACCCTTACAGCCTATGACTGAAGCATGAACTTCCTAGTAAGAGCCACAGAGAACCACACAGGCAGTTCCCGGAACCAGCCAGTTTCTCAGTGAATGGGGGATCAAGAAGGAAAAACAGTACAGATTTACTGTTTCCAGGCAGGGCTCCTCCCAGTCACCCTGGAAAGTGTGGTTACAAAGAACAGGCCAGGGGCCCAGAGACTTCTGGAATGGGGGCCCTAGCAAGGAGCATATCAGGGGACCATTTTTAAAAAGTATTTTATTTGCATTTGTGTTTTGCCTCCATATATGTCTGTGTGAGGGTGTCAGATCCCTTGGAACTGGAGGTATAGTGAGCTGCCATGTGGGGGCTGGGATGTGAACGTGGGTCCTTAGGAAAGGCAGCCAGTGCTCTTAACCACTGAGCCACCCCTCCAGCCCCTGGGGGCCATGCTTCTAGAGAGCTCTGGCCACCAGCTGGGGCACAGCTCGGCAGGGAAAAGGCATGCCTAGTGCCCTAGCTCCCTTTCTGGTGCTCTGATAAAGCACTGACCAAGAGCACTCGGAGAGGAGAGGCTTCATTTCATCTTACACTCTGCAGTCCATCACTGAGGGATGCAGAGGCAGGAGCCTGGGCTCAGGGAGTCAAGAAGGCTCCTAGGAACACTGCTGGCTGCCTCGCTCCCCATGACTTGCTCAGCCTGCTTTATCACAGCACCCAGGACCTTCTGTCCAGGGGTGGCACCGCCACAGCGAGCTGGGCCCTCCTGCATCAATTATTCATCATGAAAATGTCCTACAGGTTTGCCCAGAGGCCAGTCTGGTGGATGCAGCTCCTCAGCTGAGGGGCCCCTTCTCAAGTGACTCTAGTTTGTGTCTAGTTGACAAGGACTAACCAGCACGGCTAGTGTGCTCTCATGCCTGGGTTCAGTCCCTGGCACTAAGCCAGGTGTGGCGCCTGCTCCACGAGCGGGGCTCCAGGGTCATTCTCAGCTACACAATGTGTCCCTGGCTAGTCTTTGGGTGGGACTAGTCTTTGGGTGGGACTAGTTTCTTAGGGGCAGCTCAGGAGCTTCAGGAAGCTTAAGTACACACACGTCGCTCCATCCTGCTTCCTCATTTCTTTCCAAGCTGCTACCATGTGTAGTGCCACTGAAGCGGCTCAGTGTCTTGGGTACCAGAGAAGCTGAGATACTGTGTGCTTCAAACTGAGTCCTGAAGGAGTAGCTGTATGAACTAGATAATTTTATTGTTGGTGTGCCACTTTAAACAGCGCCACTGTGTGAACTCAGGACCTTGATCATCCTAGCGGGCACTCCGCCCCCAGTCACTCCCCAGACCCATCGTGCTGTCTGTTAATGGCCCTCCCACCTCCCATCTTTCATTCTGGGTCAACAGGTCCCCCAGTGGCTAGTGCAAATGTTTGTATAATTCAGGGAGGCATGAAACAGAAAGTGGATTTTACTAGGAAAAATCCCTGTTTTCTGAGGATCTGAATTCTGGTCTGCTGGGTGAAGCAGTCTCATTCTCTGTGGGGGAAGCCCCTTTCACGGATGACAGAGTGAGGTTGGTCATGGTTCTCCTAGCTGACACGTCCCTGTTGGGGATGCCAGCACACACCAACTTGAAGGCACTGCTGTCCCCAAGAGGGCAAGCCTGGAGGTGCTGGGGTTGGGTTGGGGACACAGTCCATCACTCCAGGCAGGCACTATGTTTGTTTATGAACTCTGCACTGCAGTTCCTGGAAATAGACAAAGCCATTTCTTGCAAACAGTTGATTCCACAGAACTTGCCCAAGGCTGAGTTTCACTCTCATGGTCCTTCTGGAGGTTGAAGTAGAGGGAGCTCTGGCTTCCCGGCTCCCTCAGATCTCACTTTTCTCCCAGGAGTTCTCAGCTGGCACTGAGGTCATGTGACCTGAGCACGCTGACAGGTGGGGATGTGGAGACACTCTCCGCCCACCCTCCAGAACTGCTGCTGAGCCACCAAGCGTCTGGAGAAAAGGAAGGCATGCTCGTGAGAAAACACACTTGGTTCAAACTTTGATCACAAAAATTCCCAACACAGAAAGAAGCTCCCCGAGACCAACAGCTGGCGATCTCTCACATTAGGCTTACTTTTTTGACAGGGTATCCCAGGCATCCCAAGCTGGCCTTCACCTCCCAAGTGCTGGGACTGTGCCATGAAGCCTGTCTCTCTACTCAGCTTACTTTAAATTTTTTTCCTGCTCGACTATCACAGCTAAACCTCTTCATTCTGCTACTATAAAAATGTCATGAAGCTGTCAGCATGTTGGAGTAGAGTACTTGCGGCAGCCCGAGTCTGTGTTCCTGGCTCTGCTCACTCACATTTGGCTCCAGAATAAACTCTCTCCTCCCTGTAAGGGAGGGTCCCGGAGTTCCAGAGCCTGCTTCTGTCTTTGGCTGATGTACTCCGGCTGTTTAGTGCCTGCTGGTTCCGTCTTTCGGCCTCTCAATAGAACTGTCCAGATTCTTCAGCGAATTCTGATCAGTAATACTGCCTGCAAAATGTTGTTCCCACGTAACCTATTTGCAGCCATGATTAATTTCCTTTCTTGGGTAAGTGACCTGCTGCTTTTACTGTATTTGCCGCCCAGTTCGTGATCTGGCTCAAGGTTCTGGGAGTCGAAGGGCATGACAGCTTCTGGTGAAAGCCGTGTCCACGTGATTATCCTTGTAGGGTAGAAAAGCAGAAGAGCAAGTAGGTTTGTGCAGAGATACTGTCAAGAAAGGAAGCAAGAGACTGAGCCAGGAAATCAAACAACCTGCTCATCCCTGGATGAAGGTGGAGCGCCCGTGGCCTGCTGACCTCCTGAGGGCCCCTCCCACCCCCTCTTCCCCATCTCGTTGGGGCCGGGCACCCCCACACTAAGTATGTGATGCTGCTCTGGCCAGGTTTCTGTTTCCCCATGTTCCTCTTTGAGACACGCACGGTCTATTGCACTGCTTCTAAGTGAGCCACTCTGCAGCTTGGCTGTAAGCCGCCAGAAGCTGCCACTGTGAGCGACCACTGACTTGAGAGGCATGTTATGGCTGGGCACGGTTGACATACACCTTTAGTCCCAGCACTTGGAAGGCAAAGGGAGATGGATCTCTTTGAGTTCAAGGATCTGAGGGAAGCCTGGTCCATACAGTGAGTTCCAGGCCAGGACATCATAGTGAGAACACCTGTGTGTATGTGTGTGTGTGAGACAGAGACAGAGTGAGAGAGTGAGAGAGAGAAGGAGGAGGAGGGAGGGAGAGAGAGAAGGAGAAAGAGAGAGAGGAGGAGGAGGGAGGGAGAGAGAGAGAGAGAGAGAGAGGAGGAGAGAGAGAGAGAGAGAAGGGGTAGCGCTGCTGACACATCAGAGGACAATTTGTGACTGTTCTCTCCTTCCACCATGTGGGCCCTGGAGCTCAAAGCCAGGCTGTCAGGCTTGGTGCAGGCCCCAACACACTGCTTCCTCTCAGCAGCCCTCAGCCGATGCCCTTAAGAGTTTTCAAAGTCTTCTTGATGGCTCTCTCTTCCTGGGGCTAGATTTGGCCTTTTGTTTAAGTTTTGCTGACAGAGACTCTTAAAAAATGAGTCTGGGCCTTTTGTTTGTACGAATATTTGTGAACCACAAGTGTATGGTGCCCAGGAAGGCCAGAAAAGGGCTTCAGATCACATGGGCCAGAGTTACAGGTGGCTGGCTGTGAGCCACTGTGGGTGCTGGGTTTGAAGCCTGGTCCTCTGCAAAGAGCTCTTAACTGCTGAGCTCACTCCAGCCCTCACAGAGAATCTTATAATCCTCTCCAATTCAGTCTCCCTTTTCCGGCAGACAAACAGAGGAGTTTCAGTTTTTCCTTCTGGCTCTAACTATGATTTTAGCTTCACTAACCCATGGCCTAAGAAGCCGTCTGTTACAGCATAGGCCTGCTCAGCCCTGGTGCTCTCTACCGCTGTGCCTGTATGGCAAGACTGGGCTTCTCAGCACTTCAACTCATCTGTCCAGCTGCTTCCCAAGAAACAAACTTTAAAATATACAAATATAAACATAAAACACATAATATATATGTTTATTATATATAATATATATCAAAGCCCAAAGTAAATGTTATATCACCGAGGTTCAATGCCATTAACATTTCTTATACATTTGCTTAACCTATCAATCTATCCCTCTTTCTTTTGGGAGGTGGTTGTTTCCTTTGAGATAGGGTTTCCCTGTGTAGCCTTGGCTCTCCTGGACTTGCTCTGTAGACCAGGCTGACCTCCCTGAACGCACAGCGATCTGCCTGCCTCTGCCTCCCCAAGTGCTGGCCTTGCAGGCGTGCGCCTCTGCGCCAGCTCATCTATCCCTTTTCTTTGCTTACATACTTCGGAGCAAATCCCAAAATATGCCATTTAACTCTATCAACATGCATCCCTTAAAACTCAATAAAAATGCAACTGTAATTAACATTTATTTTGAGACTTTTTAACACGTATCTTACAGCCTGGTTATATACAGTAAGATCACAAATATAGTCTGTCTTATGAAGGCTGACAGAGGGGTATTTTGACAAGAATTCAGTGCAACCAAGACAAACAGCACTTCCCAGATTGGCTGGGAACACTGCAGCAATCTCACCACCTTATGCTGCTGGCCTGCTCTCCTTGACAGGCTTTTCACCTCAGCACCACTGGCCTTGGGGCAAAAGGTTAGTTGTGTCAGCCACTGGGGCATGCGCAGCCTGTTCACCAGACAACAGTGGCACCCACCCAACACACACCTTGTCTAAGTTAGAGCGGCAAAAGGGCCTTCGCTGTCACCAAAGGACCCGGGGAAGATAACCCTCACTAAGAGTGCCTGCTGGGAGGGGCTCCCCACTGACCCAGTAAGCACTGAGGGAAGCTCACTGCTAAGCAAGTGCTTTAGCCCCAGCCTCAAGTCACATTCATGCCAAACTCCTGTGAGCATCACCTCAGAGCCCCAGTGTGCAAAGAGGCCTTTCACAATGTGACTATAGTTCCAGCCAGCATCATCCAGTGGGCTACCTCCAAGCTCACTCTCCCATCCTATACAGCACTTGCTCAAGGGAAACCTGCCAGATTGCTTCCCAGCCTGGAGTCTCGGCCTTGCCTGTTTGGGCGTTTCTGAAGTGAAATCAACCACAGAACTTGAATGCCATGAAAGGCACAGTAAGAACAGCCAACTTCTGAGTTGCAAAGTGGTTTTAAGGCAAAGGCTAGTTCACTCTGAAATGCAGAGCGCCAGCCTGCTAGCCCATGAAAGCCGACACCAGGAATGTCTTGTTAGCTGGAAAGTGCATAGCACCAAGATTATGGTCTTCTGTATTATTTTAAAAACAAAAATCAAAACACTGTACAATTACTAATACTAAATCAAATCAAATTTTAACCAAACAGAATCTAAAAGCTCCATATTGTGGCCTCACCACAAAGCTTTCCCAATTGATAAAAATAGACAAGCCTAGACGTTTATGATTGGGACATAATGAGCAAGAGCAATACAGATTTTCCAAGTCATGATTAGTAAATCCCTCTAAAAATGGACAGAAGTATATAATCACCACAAAGGGAAGTAGATGGCAAGCTGGACAGCCCGTCTACGGTGGACTGTGGAAAAGACACGCTGCAGAGGCCGAGCTCTGTGCCGCAGCAGGTTAGCGGCAGCTGCAGCAAAGCGGCTGGTGCTGTGTCTCACACCATTTTGCTGGGACAGCTTACCAAGAGGCCAGAGGCAGGACCTATAGTGACTAGGGGCTGTGCATGAGTGCAAGGAAGGTGTTCGTAGAATCTATGAAGAGCATCTGAAGAGAACAAACCCCAACAGCCCCATCACATGAGACACCAGTCAGTTTGATTTCACGGACGCTCTGGCAGGTCTCAGCTGTCTTGTCTACCACGCTGACACACAGACGCACCAGCCTTATAACAAACAAAGAGAAGACCTATGTGTGCCTCCGTGATAGGCCCACCAGGTGGGGAAGTACAGAGTTGGAAGCATTAGGGGCTGGACTGGGCACAGGTGCAGACAGCGTGCCATAGTGAATATTCTGTATGGTAGTGATCCTGCTTCTGTTCTGTTACACTAGAAACAAGACTGAACATGTGAAACGTGAGTGCTCTTTTCCTTCTGAAACCACCACTGCCCTTTGTTCCTTTTCTTTCTTTTTTTACGTAAACATCTTTATGATAATTCAGTTACAAAGTGCTTTTGCCTTTTAAGGTTGGTTCTGGTCCTTGAAACTGTTCCTGCCTGCTTTATAGCTGTGAGTGCACTAACCCTCCTGGGGGCGGGGGAGTGACAAGGTTAGCTATGTCCTCTAGAAATGTCTTAATGAAAAAAAAAGAACTGTTCTGTAGTGGTAAGAGAGGAGACAGAGAAGCTGAAAGAGGCTGTTTAAATCCCAGGGTGTCAGTTTGCTGACACTGATTCTGTCTGTTACTGTATCTCCCGTACCTGGAGCAGTTCACTCTGCTCACATCTCTGTCAAATGCCAATCTATGCTCATATATACTCGGAACTGGAAGGATCTATTTGCAAATGAGGACCCACAAAGAAACTATCAGTTCCTAGTCAAATTATGTTCAAAGATCTATGGAAATAAACGTGCAGGCAAAACATAGAGACTCTATGCCCCAGGTTTACTTTTTAAGAATATTTCCTGCACAAAGAATAGTCTTCTCCTTTACCTTATAAAACAAACCCTAAAACTGCAAATTAAATGCCCAAGGGACACAGCCAAGGCCAGGCCTGCCTTCCGTCTGAAAACCTGCACCAGAAATGTGCACACTGCAGGGCAGAGCCAGCACCAGCGCTCACACAGCGAGGAACTGCTCAGAGCTTCGCACACGGAGAAAGCTGCACACTGAGAAAACCCCTCAGAGCACGTGCCCCTGGCATGCCTGGAAAGCTGCAAGGCAGCCAAGAGCTGATGGCACTGGAGGACCCTGACAGTCTGTGCAACACCGAGAAGGCCTTTTCCTACAGGAAAGCAGTATGGGAGGAAGCAGCCGGTGGTCCACCGCAGGCCAGGACAAGCAGGACAGCACACTGCACCTGCGCACCTCACACGGCTTTAAAGGAGCCCCACTCAGACTGCGACCGAGTGTTGAGCGCTGCCTGTCAGCTCCCCAGCAGGCAGCTTATATATCGAGGTTAATCCTCTTCGGCCGCAGCGGGTAGTTCCTTCTCTGGGCGAGGTCTGGAGCTTGCTTTCTCTTTAGCACCACGTTGGAGACTTTCCTGGCAGCCGTCTCGGTTGGTGAAGTTTCTACCTGTGTGACAAGCTTGTCAGGCTTGGTCTCTACTTTCCTGTGGCAGCCGGAGAAGACTTCCTGGTTGATCCTCTGCAGCTGGATGATAGGCTGCATCTTTAAAACCTGAGAAAAGCCGTCTCCTTGTTCGATTAACACGGGCAAAGCCTTGGGAAGAAAAAGCTCAGGTTGAAGGTGAGTCCACAGAGCAGACACACTGTACACAGACTGGAGCCACTGCAGTTAACTCTCTAACTCAAGCCTATCACTACGTCCTGCTTCCCTGCGGTTAAGGACGTTTGGTTTTCTGTTTTAAGATCCCAGTTCAAGTGGAGGGATTTTAACTAAAGGCTGAGACTCAGAAAATACGGCTCATCCTTCCAACTGGTGGCGACATTAAACCTAGCAGGAGTAACAGAAGTTCAGAGCTAAGAATTTAAAGCCCGGAAGTCCTGCTATCTGATAACATGTTTTAGGAATCTTGATAAGACAAGGGACAGGCACGTTGTGACCCTAATGGATGGAACAGTAAGCATTTGGACCCTGGGGCTCTCTGCCTAAGACCTCAACCTTGGCCAGCCATGGTGGTACATGAATGACTAAAGCTAGTTTGAAGTCAGCCTGTGGAACACAGTGAGGCATTGTCCTCAAAACAAAAGAACTGAACTCCACTATTAGAAGATGAAAAAACACCAGACAGGAAGTAAATGAGTGGTCCCGTCTGTGTTTCAATAAAGCCTTGTTTACAAAAAACGAAGCAGGCTGAATGCCTGACCCACCAACTCTGGATCAAGACTAGGATAGAAGTAGTAAGATGATCAATTATCAGAAAAACATAAAAACCAAAAGAGAATGCCACAGAAGATGGACAGCAGAACTGGAGAGGTTCTGCAGGAATTTAAAAATAATTTCCAGGTAGCAGGAATTTGCTTTTGTGTTTAGGTAAAATAAATGTCCTACTAGAAACCCTGTTATTATGACCTTGAGGCTCTCCAGCTGGAAGAGACTAACAGAGTGATTAAGAGCAAAAGCAAACGGCTAGGAAACATTTGCCAGAGCTGAGTTCAAGCCAGTAAAAAAGCAAAAACAACAAAAGAACAAGTTCCAAAGCCAGAGATCCTGGTTCAGTTACTTGTTTGGGCTTTTAGTGCCTCAGTGTTCTCGTCTATAAATTGGGATTAGCATATCTACCTTGCTGGGTCAGTGTGAGGATTAAATGAGACAGTAAATGGAGCAGACACACGCTCCATAGATGTTACCAACAGCGTCAGCCCAGAATGTCTGACAAGCTGCCAACACAGCTCACGAAGTGTGACCTCACTAGAGAAGCCAGACAGAACACACAGGCCTGCCAGGTAGACTGTGGTACACACGGGCCTGCCAGGTAGACTGTGGCACACACGGGCCTGCCACGTAGGCTGTGGCACACAGTAGTCACCTGATAACGGACTCCTGAGCATCCTCCTGCAGACCCAAACACGCCTGCACCCCCGATGAGCACCAATCTTTCCACTCTGTGTATCAGCACCGCTCTTACCTTCATGGCACTGCTGATTTTCTTGGCTATGTCTTCTCCACGGCATTTCAAATTTTCCACATGAGAAGCTGCAAGAAACCACCAAACAGTAAGTATTTTAGGTTCTTTATCTAATTAGCCAGTCATAAAGACATTTAGACACAACACGGACAGAAATCTGTTAGGGTTTACCTTGTTCTAACCTACGAGTACTCTGTTTGTTCGAGGAGGGTTTCTCTGCTTAGTTCTGCCTGTTCTGGAATTCAGTCTGTAGAGCAGGTTGGCCTCAAGCTCACGGAGATGGGCCTGCCTCTGTCCCCCTAGTGCTGGGATGAAAGGTGGGCCCCTCCCCATTGCACCCTGCTGAGTACTCTGTAACCCACCAAAGTCAATGTCAGGATAAAAGAACGGTCCAGGAGTACATCAGAGTATTACTCAACGGTGTGCACACAAGCCGGCTGGCTGGCTCCAAGCGGCCTCAGTGGTGTCCCGAGAGCACCTGCTATGCATTCTCTAGATGCTGCTGACACCTCAGCACATCATCAAGTGTTAAGACACATGCATTCTGTACCGTGTGTATAATCCTCCACACATACACACAGTAAAAAAAATAAAGCAAAACATCATCTAAACTTCGAATACAAGCACTCTTGTCCTGAGGCCACGCACACATATTATCTGGTAGAAAAAATTTTAGCTTTGGTTGCTAGAATACAAATTTCTTTTTCCTTCCCTGATGCTTCTGAGTGTGTGTTTATGCATGTGTATAATGTGTGTGCATGTGTGTGTGTATGTATGTGTGTGGGTGTGTACACGCATGCTTGCATGTGCAGATGCACACGGCGGACAGAGGGCACCATCAGGGGTCTTCCTCTGGCTCCGTCTTGCTTTCAGACAGCATCACTGACTCAGGCTGATAGGCTAAGAAGCCCATGGCTCCCACTGTCTCTGCATCTCCAGTTTTTAACCTAAGCTCTAGGAATTCAAGTTCAGGTTGCTGTGCTTGCAGAGCAAGTGCTTTATCAACAGCTATGGCCTAGCCCTCTTCTGATGCAGCACGTCTGAGGCTGAAGTACAGACTAAAGGACACAAGAGTATAAAGAGCACCAGTAAAGCCATATGGGCCGGAGTGAAAGCCAGCGTGTGTACCTCATAATTTAAAAAGAACTGTACAAGGAACTATACGAAACTATGCCAACTGGCACATGATGCATAAAGAGGCAAATTGTGATAATAACAGTCAAAGGGAAGGGCAGAGCTATATAGAACAGTGTTAAAATGAGGCTGGTTTAAAGTTACACTGTTAAGACATGAATTGTGATCTCTAATGAAGCCACTAACCCTAAAAACAATTCAGAAAATAAAAGCAATATGCTACCAAAAGATCCAGTGCACAAAGGAGAAAGCGGACGACGATGGACAGAAGTGTGACGCTGCTGGATAACAAGCACAGGTGCAGCAAGCCCTCCCTCACCAGTCACGATCTCAAGTATCAACGGGGTCAACTTTGCTACTGAAAGGCACAACTAGAAGTGGCAACGGGATGAAGAAGAAACAATCCAGTCAGGCCACACCATTACTGCCCCGTAAGCACCGCTGCCACAGAGCTGAGAATGAAGGGAAGGATGGAAACACTCTACACAGAAGCCATTGTGGGACAGCTGAGGCTGGTGCTCAGCGGCAGGGCCTTGGGGGGGGGAGGCCCTGGCAGTGACCCTCCTGCTGCATTAGAAGAGGAGATCCTGATAAAAAGGGGCACCTCATCCAAGAGACCTAACAACTTTTCCTTCCTTCGAGACAGGGTCTCTCTACATAGCCCTGGCTGTCCCAGAACTCACCATTCTAGGCCTGGCTGGTCTGAAACCCACAGAGATCCACCTGTCTCTTCCTTCCAAGTGCTGGGATTCAAGGCATGTACCAACACCCCTGGTGATTTAACACCTGTAAACAGGTGCACCAAACAGAACCCCGAAATTCATGAGACGGAGCTGAGGAACTGAAGAGGCCGTCTGACAGGAACAGCTGGCGACGCCAACAACAATGCTCTAATGAGCTGCACGGCAGCGCGCACTCTCGTGTGCAGGAGGGCCTTTTCCTCTCTGCAGAACACGTGACTCACAGGTCAACAGCACGCCACTTCCGAGAGAAGGTTTGTAGGACAACTTGCATCCTCTCAGAAGCAAGCTGAGAGGTGACAGGGAGCTTAGAGGCCTCTGTCTTGAGGAGCTGAAGCCCCTTCTCCCAGGTCAACGGCGTCAGAAATCACAAGGGATACGACAGTGCTTATCGTTTTAAGCTGTTAAATTCTGAGATAATTTATTAAGGAACATGTTAACTCCAACATTAGAGCAGTGGGTTTTCAAATCAACGCATTTAGTCCTAAGTGTAAATTAAAGTCCCCAGTGAGTGACCATCTAGAACATTCCAGTGCATCTAGAATGTTCCCCAAAGGCCAATGTGTGAAATGCTTGATCACCAGGCAAGCCTATGTGGAGGTCTTCAGGTTTCTGGGGGTTTGTCCAATACATCTTGTTCCCCACTTCACTCTCTCCCAGATAAAATACTTCTAAACTTAAAGAAACAAGCTCAATTGTTGATCTGAACAAAACACAATAGACTATCTTCCTTATGACTCCAGGCTTTTTGGATACTCTGTTGTATTCACGGCACACGTGAGAACATAAGGCACATTTGAAAACAGTTTAAATGGGGGCTGGAGAGGTGGCTCAGTGGTTAAGAAAATAGTTTAAATGTCTATCATCTGTTTATAGTTGTCACACTTATATCGAGATGATGGTGGTTTTAAAAATACATATGTATGTATGTACATATGCATGTATAACTTCATCAAGTTGTGCACTGTACATTACTCTACAAAAGCACACACATGGATCTTCTTCCTCCTCCTCCTCCTCCTTTGGTTTTTTCAGACAGGGTTTCTCTGTGTAGCCTTGGCTATCCTGGACTCACTTTGTGGACCAGGCTGGCCTTGGACTCACAGAGCTCCACCTCCCTCTGACTTCCTGAGTGCTGGGATTACAGGCGTGTGCCACTGTGCCCAACATGAATCTCTTACTTCTATGCCACAGTCTTCACTGTTGCGTAGGTTTTACTAGCAGCAGCTATCCTCCTTGACCTGTGAGGCCCTTCTCTAGGCTCCTCACAGATTGAGTTCTATCTATAACTAACACAGACAATTCCTAAAAGACCTCATGCCACTGTTTTGGCCTTCACTCTCCCCCTGCTGTACAGTATCTGATCTTCATCTGCTGCATAAACAATGACAGCATAGAAGCCAAGAGTGCTTTGGACTTGGGTGTAAAATGGAGCTAGGCTCTCGGCTTGCATTCTGACAGACTTTCACACCCACCTGTGTGATGGGTTTTCTAAAGTTGGGTTAGACATATAAGACATCTACTGTTCCTGACATGACTACAAAACACTCTTACACCATCCCTTACCTCCAGCATCCTCCAACTTCTTCAGAAAGGCCACTAGGGGGCAGTATAGACAACAATGAGAAGCCAGAATCTTGCTAATCCTTGAGGACTTCCTGGTAGGTAGACTATGATCTTTCTTTATTCATGGGGTCTTTTAGCGGTGATCATAGTACCCTGAGAGCAGGTGCTCAAAATCTACGACAGGACACACAGATGGTAGTAGACTTCCTTAATCAAAGGGGGTGACATCACTCACAGAAGAACTGTATTGTGGAAAGTTTGTCTTAAACAGGGATATGATGCCAACATGGACTGGGGAGTACAGGGTCGGAGGCAGGGGGATCAGATGCATTCTGCCCAAATAAGGAAATAAATCAGAAACAGAAGAAAACAGGAACCAGGAAACATGGTCCACAGCAGGAGAGAAGTGAGGAAATTCCCAGGATAAAGGTGAAAGGACAGACAGGATGAAGGTGTTAGCAGGCGAGGGCAGCTGGTCAGGACTGGAATAGGAAGATGAAAGGTTCAAAACAAGACTGATGGATAACCTCAAGAGTTTGCCACACCTAGGAATTTACGATTCTGGGAGAAAATCAGAGATAGACAGGACAGAACAGAGAGAGGCAACTGTCACCTGAGAAGGGGCAGCAACAGGCACTACACAGTGTAAGGTGCGGGGCCAAACACACTGAGTTTCCAACAAGAACAGCAGAGGTAAACAGTGAAGCTAGTGGACAGGCAGGCGGTAATGGCACACGCCTGTGATCCCAACACTTGGGAGACAGAGGCAGGTGGATCTTTGTGAGTTCCCAGAACAGCTGGGACTACATAGAAAGATCCTGTCTCAAAAAAACAAAATAAGACTAAACAAAACAGAACACGAAGCTGGTGAGTACAAATGAGTTTTCTGAGGACCTGCCTATGACAGCACAGAAAGACAGACTCGCCCAAAGCCTATTCTACTCTATGAGCTGCTGTGGACAACACACACCCTGTCATTCTCAGGCTATGTCAGAGCAGGCCTGAGGGCCTCCTTTTACAAAAATCCTGAGAAAGGGAACTGCAACTGGGTAGATTTAGAACTCACAGCTTCTGAAATGCTATGTAACTCTCTAAAATATCACCTTCCCAGAAATCATATACTGTCCTCCTAAAAATGTAATTCAGAAATGGGCAAAACTTAGTTCCAGCAAAATGAAAGTTTCCTGAGATTAAAAACTATGTCCAATACCACTGTAAAGTTAAATGTCTAACTATGAATTTATAATATCTCTTCTTTTTCTAATTAAGTAAATTAAATCCTTTTCGTTGGAAACCAAAACATCTCTGCAATGCCTGGAGGTGCTCATCTTTAACCCCAGCACGGGAGGCAGAGGAGGCGGGCCTCTCTAAATGTGTGCTCAGCCTGGTCCACAAAGCAAGTCCCAGGCAAGCCAGATACATCTTCCCACGCGAATCTGGGGCATGGTGTCTCAAAAACAAAAATAAAAGCAAAACCACAAGACAAAACAAAGTTCACAGTATCAACAACTCTAAAGGAGGAGTTTAGAGGAGAAAGCGCACACGGAAACGTGAGCTAACTGTACAAGTCAGGCAGGCGGCCTGAGCCCGTGACCACAGCACAGAAGGACCGGACAAGAGGGCCGTGCACCCCAAGTCATCCCGCTGGACAGCAAGACCCTGTCCCAAAACAAAACACAGGACTCAACAAAACTCATTAAACACGTGGCATAAACATTCCCTGTGCTGGCAAGATAGTTCAGCAGAAAAGGCACCTGATGCCAATCCAAACAACCTGAGTTTGAGTCCCGGAACTTATGGTAGAAGGAGCAAACTGACTTCTGCAAGTTGTCCTTTGATTTCCACACGCATGCTGTAGTATGCACATGTGTATTCACAAACACACACAATAAATTGATGAACATTTTAAGAAGCCGAAAACATCATTTCCAGCATGAGTACTTGCTAAAGGAATTCCCAAGCAATAAGCTTTTGCCATACTCCCAGTGACTCTAAGTGACCGTCATATTTTATAGCGGAGAACACTGAAGCACTCCTGATACAGACTATTTGCTTTTAGAAGTCTCCTATGCTGGTGGCAGGCCTAGGCCATGAAAGAGACAGGATGAAAATGCATCTCCTGGATGCATTCTCCAAGCTCCTCCTCCACACGCTCAACAAGAACACTTCAAGACACCGAGTGCCACTCTTATCAAGGTCAACAGAAAGTTCCTGAAGAACCGCACCTCACGGGAGCCTATGGGCGTTTACTAAGCACAGTAGGGGAAGGATAAGATGTTTCAAGCCCAGAGCCAAATTATCCAACCCTTGTTAGCCCTTCCAGGTGTGTGCCCTCCTCTAAGTGACCTGACATCTTTGTGAGCATTAGATATGCTCTGTAAAATGTACAAGCTGACCCCAGCTTCTATCAACCAGAAAGCTAAAAATGCTGTCAGAGAGCATGTGAGGCCTACAGCTTTTCTGTCACCACCTGCTGGCGCTTCTACTAATGAACATCTCAGTTTATGATTTTTTTTCTATTCTGCTGTCACAAATGCCATGAAATTGTTACCACATTGCAGCACGAAGTTTGCAGTAACCCAAATCTGTATTTCCTGGCCACTGTCACTCATATTTATCTCCAAAACAAACTCTCTCTTACTCCCCTTAAAGTAAGTGTCCCACAGCCTAGATGCACACATGAACGCTGACAGGTAATTAGCTGGGAGCGTCCACCCGCAGGCTCTGCAGTGCCTGAAACCAGACAGCACTACCTGAAAACAAGCCAGGCAGCCTCGACTTGCAGGGCCACCCTAGAATTCAAGTGTCGACTGCAGAAAACTGAAAACATCTCTGCCATTACTATGTGCTAAATGCTGGGTAGTGGGGAGAAGAGCTCCTCCACTCCAGGGACTTTAAAATGACAAGAACCACATCTTATTGGTAAATAACCAGCTTGCTGGGGGAAAGTCTGCCCTTGAAAAATGTGGAAGTTCAAAACCCCTGAGACACTCTTCCCTAGCTCCTGCTCTCTAAAACAGAGGGAAATGAAAAAGTGGAAATGAAAGATTGGGTAATAAGCCCAGTTTTGCTTCCGGGTCACTGCACTAACTAAACAAGGGAACATGAACCTCCAAAGCCTGCAAACTCGGCAGAAATGTGCTGGCTGCGAGCTTCCCATTTACTTCCACCTTATTTCCTGAGTGCCAACAAACAAGCATGCGCAGAGGTCACCTGGCTTGTACGGTTTCTAGGGCAGAAATCAATGCCACCAATACCTTGCGTGAGAAGTGAGGAGGGAAACCAATGTTTCTTCTGAAGACAAACAGGTTTCAGATCTGTGACCCCAGGCACCCCACTCTTCTACAGCATGGGTGTCAGTCTCCCTTTGGGCCTGTCAAGATCCTAATGCAGGGCTTTTTATCTAGCCTCAGGCGGGTGACTAATCTCATTACTTTTGTTCCACAGTCTCTTAAGTTCTTTCCTCAGGAGCTTTGCCTAAGCTCTTTCCTCCGCTCCAGGGTTCTTCTCCTGATAGTAACCATGTAAATTCCCAGCCACTTTTGCCACAGAAGTTTCTTCTCACCTGCACCCTGTCCTAGCCTCATGCTGCCCACCTACTGTGAACTGGACGCTGCTCCCTGAGTCACACTGAGGCAGCCGCACTCGGAGCAGAGGCAGACTGATGCCCCAGCATCGCAACAGTGCTAGGACTTCTTTAGAACACCAACCAGTGCAACCTGACAGGACCATGTCTTTACACAGAGCCCCGGGAAGAAACAGTGGCTACCAACTTCACTCTGTAAACCGGAAGGAGCTGATGGGCCTCAGGAGGGTAAGAAGTGGAAATCATCAGCTTCCTAGTTTAAACCAAGGGCTGAGGAAGCTGGAAAAAAACGTGCCACCAACCAGCAAGTGTACCTGAAGTACACAGAAGTGCCGGGAGACAGGTGACACCCCAGGCCTGGGCACGGACCAGTGTCCAGATCCACCACCTCCAATGTCACAATGCACAGAGCCTCTGCTGCCACATACAGGTGGCCCGTGCTGCGCCTGCAGAGACCTGAGTTCAATTTCTAGCACGCACACTGGGCAGCTCATAGACACCTGTAATACAGTTCCAGGGGAATGCAAATTCACGTGCACATACCCCCACACACATACATGATTTTAAAATATAAATTAAAAAATCTTTAAAGAAATGAAAAGAACAAAGATAATGAATTCAACATATTCAATATGATGAAAGCAAATAAAATTTAAGAGCAAAGATGAAATAGAAACTCAGAGCTGGCACTTCACAACCTTTACCCAAGGTGCCTAAAAACTGCAAGCAAGAAGCACACCCAAGGGCTGGAGAGATGGCTCAGTGGCTAGGAGCGCTGTCTGCTCTCTCAAAGAACCTGGGTTCAATTCTCAGCACCCACATGGCAGCTCACAACTGTCTGTAACCCCAATTCCAAGGGATCTCACACCTTCAATGAAATAAAATTAAATAAAATTTATTAAAAAAAAAAAAAAGAAGTACACCCAAAATGAAGGCACAAAATGAAAAACAATAGTTATGTCAGAATTTTGAAAACTGGATTGATAAATCCAATTAATCACCAAATACAAAAAAAGTAGCTACTGGTGGTTTATCCTTATAATCCCAGCACTCAGGAGGTGGAGGCAGGAGGAGCATGAGCTCAAGAATAGCCTGGGCTACATAATAGGACCCTGCCTCAAAAAACAACAAACAAAGGCCCACTGGGAGTGTAGCTCCATGGCAAAGCACTTGTGTTGCAGGGACAGGCCGACCTTCCATTCTCAATAAGACAATCAAAAAGTCCTAACAGGTGAATTTTATACGCTTAACCAGAACTAAAACAGAAGACTAGGGGCGGGGGTGTACCTATCAATAGTCAGAGTGCACAAAGGGTCATTTCTTGCTCAAGAAGCGTGTCACCGGACTGCATAAAGTCGAGTAACTTTACTACAACAGATACAACTTTACAGGGGATATTAAAAGAACAGAACAGAACGTCACTTGCAACCTGGGAGACTGAAGAGAGAACACCGAATCCACACAGCAGAAGGCAGCCAAGGCAGGGCTTGAGAAGACAGACCTGGGATTGGAAACTAGAATAAGCAAGTTCCACAGGACAAGATTATGGTCTGAATCTAAAGTGTGACTCACCAGCTATGACCTTAACTGTACTCATCAACACTGTGACTGAACTAAACAAACTCAAGAAGATAAACAGATCAAAAATGTACAAAACCAGGCAGCCACATTACAGACAGACTCTGAGATCATGAAAACAAAAACTAAGACAGCAAAACAAACAGCAAAAGAGAAAGAAAATCGAGTTCCCGTTAGTGGAAGCACAGAAGCAGCCAACACCTGAGCGCATATACCAGAGAGGGGACACTTGCAGAACAACAAAGACTGTCTCAAAATCTAAAAACAAGTGCTAGGTGCCAGCTGTGGAGGAGAGGGCTCACACAGCTGGGGACGCTACAGTGGCAGCTTCATTTTCATTCTTACCTGGGTCAGGGTCACATTTCAGGTCCAAGGGCTGTACAACAGGGCAATACTGCTTCTAAACACAACACAAATCAGTTAAGTTAGACATGTGACACTTCAGATAAAGAAGCATCTCTTTCAGTCAGTGTGAGCAAGTATTCAGTCAACAGTGCTAGCCTCAGGGTTTCTCGTTTTGGACCCTGAACTCTGTCTGTAGGGAAAGTGTCGTTAGGTTTTAACACCTTTTATGTACTGCCATCTGCTGCACACAGTGAGAAATAGCAAAGTGAAGGCATCGTGGTGTTTAAGATACAGGGCAATGGCCACAGTGTGGCAGAGCTCATTCACGACAAATGTTTGGAACTCAGAATTCCTATTTCCACAGAAACTTTTTGAAAACGTGGCTAGACTGCCACACCAGCCAATTACTGTCCACACCTGTGGTACACAGGGACAGCTGGACATTTCACAATCAGGCGAAAGGAAAAGGGAAATGTTCCTTCTTACTCAATGACAACCGGAGCCAAAAGTATGAAAAATTGGCAACAGCACACTAATGCTCTCCAGTTTTGTGTCTCCACTGTCTGCCTAACTAGTGTCAGGGTTTTTTTTTTTTAGGAAGGTCAGCAAGGAGGGAGCCACAAGACAGTCAACACACTGCAAGCTTTTCTCCTGGAGTCTGGGAAGGGCTTGCTGTAGCGGCGAATGCTGTGGAAAGATAAAGCATTCGAGGATTTCTTTTTCCCTGTCACAATATGACTGAATGTTTAGCTCAAATGCAGGCCTGTAGTGCCCCAAACCGTGACTGAGGCAGAGACTACTGGAAGAGCCACACTTTTAAAGGCTAAAAGGACTGTGCACTCTAAAGCCTGCATATAGTCGTTTCCTGGGGCAACACCATCCCAGCAAGCCATCCCAGCAAATCACTCTGGTCCAACTGCCTGTGGCCCTGCCTCATTTGCATTAAGTCTCAGGTCTAATCTGCCTATGCATCTGTTCCAGTTTTAATAAATGTGTCATGTGACAGGCATGGTGACAGACACCTACAGGGAAAAGCAAGCCTATGTAAACAGCCGAGACAGCCAGCTGTGATTCCAGCACACAAGAGGCGAGAGGTGGAGGCTGAAAGATCAGGTAAGTTGATCCAGTTTTTACGTGGTACGATGCTGTGTACGGATTTAAACAGAAACATCTTACCAGACTCTCATGCTGTGCTTTCAAGGTTTGGATGAGGCTCTCAAGGATCCTTCGGGGGTACTGCCTCCGTTTTGTTGCCACATCCACTATGAGCTCATCAAACTCATCTTCAAGCACTTTGATGTCGGAATCTATTTCAGAGAAGTCCCGTATTAGTTTGGAAATATTCTATAAGCTCAATTCACAAAATAATTAAAGAAAACAGCATGGCAAACCAATGGAGTCCCCTCATCCTGTGCCGATCAATTATCAAGCACAGAAAACACAAAGACATACAGCACAGTCCCCAGAAACAGGCACTAGTAACTTGACAAATGCAGCAGGGTATAAAGACAAAGGACACCCGATCAGTGGGAGTTAAAGAACCAACATTAGGCCTGAAATCTGGCTGTAAACCGAGGCACTGGGTGAGCAGGATCTTTGGGAGAGGAAACTGTAGAGCCAGAAGCCATCTAAATGGCATAGAGTGAGTGACAAGGAAAGGGCTGAGGTGCAGCTCGGCATGACCGAATGTGCTTAGAATGCACAGGGCCCTGGACTGGCCCTTCCCCAGCAGTGAAGGCATCTCAAGCCATGGATAACCTTTCAGTCAACCTGTGACAGCAGCAGTGGGAAGCCAGGCAGGAAAAGCGAAAGGCATGGTGACCTGGGGCTTTCTCATTCAGCAACAACTGTTTATCCAGTTGTTGGCTCTCAGCTTGAAAGGGATGACTACCCAGGGAGGATGTTACTCAGGTCTAGGATAGGGCGCAAAAATGAAGCATCCAGAAGAAGTGAATGTACACGGATGCAACTGGCCTCATTTCAATAATAACTTTAGAGTGAAAATACTGGGCTGGAATAAGAGCATCCGCTTAGCATTGTAGGGATGTGCACTCTGCCCAGCACTGAGAGAAAAAGTAGGAATACTAAGTAGCTATGAGTGCCAAGTCCTCACGTAAGCGCTCACACCACGAGCTCAACTCTGCCAGCCTACACTAACCTCATGGACTAAGCTTTTCAAGCAGCCCGATGATGGCACATTTCTGAAACACTCTGAGAGCTGGCTGGTATGTGCACTCCAGCATACAGTGTGTAGCAGCTGCGGCCTCTCCTGTAGCAACTATTCACTGAGTCTACTCAGTGGCTCGCTTGAAGGATATCTGAGGAAGCTATGGAACTCTCACTTGGACACTCTCTGAAATAAGGAGCTTTACATTTTACTATGTTCATTTTAAAGTGACGTCACTAGCCTACAAAGGACAGCACACAGATTACAGAAGTTCTTTTTAAACGTGTGTATGCTAGCAGACGGTGCAAGCATGTAGGGTCAAGTAATAGCTCCGAGGAATCCATTCTCTTTCCACGTCTACCCAAGCTTTTCTTCATCCTTTTACTATGTAAACCCAAAATCTGTTTTGGTAATGTTAAATAGACAGCTAACATAGTCCCAAGTAATAGACAAGAAAATCTTATAGGCACAGCACTCTCCTGCCGTTGAGAAGAAAGGCTACAGGCACAGAGTCACTGTTGGCCTGAAATCAGCTCCAACAATAGGACAATGCAAACACAACACTGTGACTCTCAGCAGTGATGCTGATCAGCCCCAAGTGATGTCACAGAGGGACAGCTGGCACGTGTGGCCTGTCAGCACAGCCCTTCTCTACACAGCACTGCAGATCGGGGCTGCCTGTCTCTCTTCTCTAACTGAGCATTCCCTTCCTATTGGTGCTTCCTTCCCATTCTGGCCTTTCTCTTAACACTCTGCCTTCTTTAGGCATGCTAGCACCATTAGTAAGGCACAATGAAATCTAAGCTGGTATGGTGGCTCATAACTTTAATCCCAGCATTGGGGAGGCAGAGACAGGTGGATCTCTGAGGCCAGCCTGGTCTATAGAATTCTAGGACAACCATGGATACAGAGAGAAACTTTGTCTGTCTCAAAAACAAAAACAAACCTACAAAGACAAACTAAGTCTTGGGTAAGGAAACACTGGTCTTAAGAACAACAAGAGGAGGCATGTTCTGAAGGCACCCTCTGCATGGCACCCATATGGTTTAACGTTACACGTAAAAACACTTCACTCTCTATTATAGTATCATCTAAGCAAACACATAACCTGAATTACAAGGAAGTACAGGATTCTTCTGGCCTATTTTTTTTTTAAATGAAGATAATTCTACAATACCTTCCAAAAGCTTACTGACAAAGCAACTGAAGGACAGATGAAAGACCTTTTAGGATATCATCAGACAACATACAGATCAGGTAACCATGGAGTTTCTCTTGGGTTGTGTTCAATAATCTACATTACTTTCTTCTTTTTACTCTGTAATTGTCTTTTAAAATAACATACTGAGGCCAGCGAAATGTAAAAGTAAAAGTGCTTGCCAGCAAGCCCGAGGACCTGAGTCTGATCCTGGAGCCTCCTGATGGAAGAGAAAAACAAGTCCTGAGAGCAGCCCTTTGCCCTCTACACATGTGCCACAACACACACATCCCCACACAGGAAATAAAGTGCTCAGAAGAGAGGGGGTTTTCCTTCTACTGCTGTGAATCGACACCACTGTTACAGGAGAAAGGTATCCTGGGAGGGAATACCGCAGAGTCACAGTGTACAGCAAAGCGCACACCAAAGACTTACTGGAAGGAAACACAGCGGGGGAAGCAGCGAAGACCTGCGGAGGAGCAGGCTTCTGGGGCAATTCTTTCCAGGGGAGCTTGATCTTGGGGAAAGCTCAGGGACTGGTGAACTGGCTTCCACAAACAGGACCTGGAACCTTAGTGCAAACTCAAGCAACAGGGAGGACAGGCAGGTGCTAGACAAGTTTCGCTCCATCCGTGTGCAGACCTCCAAGCACCCTTTCTGGCCGAACAAGCTCACCCCGGCGTCAGAACACAGCCTCCACTGGGCCTTAGAAAAACATCGCAAGGCACCAGGAAAAGCAGTCTGTGTCCACACCCCAGGTTCCCACAGACTGCGCCCCTGCTAGCAAGGACCCACATGCCTTGCACCAGCCTGCCTGCAGCCATCGGCCTGGCAGAGCTGGTCAATCTGGCATCTTCCCTGGCCGTAGCCTCCTCCACAAACATGGACTTGCCCAGTGTAGAGAATATGATCAAAGTTACCTCTGAGAAGTCCCAGAATATGTCTCTAGAACTTTGCTAGGTTGTCTAGTCCATCAAGTTTGCCCAGGCTACCCAGATCACCCAGATATCCTCAGAGAAGCACAATAAATCGACCAAAGACATGACAAGTCACAAATCTTGGACTCAGGAGACCAGGAATGCAGTTTACTCTTACCTAGATTTTAGCAAGACTGGGCCAAGAAGGCTACCATCTGAAGGGAAGTGAAGTCTGTCTAGACACCAAGCACATCCCCTACCCCCCAGCTTTAGGGAGCCAAAGAAGAGTGAGTGATGTTGTCCTACAGCTTCCACAGGGCCCGCACTAGCTTGTAGCATGGCAGGGCCTGGCACTCTAGCATCAAGGGGCTTACAACCATGACTAAGGAAACTCTTTTAATTGGGGATTAGTCCATTACCTTCATGGTGGGGAGCACATGGCATGCATGCAGACACTGGAGTAGCTGAGCTACATCTGGGGCTACAAAGCAGAGAAGGGGAGACTGGGCATGGCATGGGCTTTTGAAATCTCAAAGCCCACCACCCCCAGTGGTGGCCAGATCTCCTGATCTTTCTCAAATAGTGTCATTTTTTTTTCTGATAACTATGAATTCAAATAAATGAGCCTAGGGAGGTGATTTTTGTTTGTTTGTTTTTTTTTTTAAGATTGATTGATTGATTTAGTATGCAGTGTTCTGCCTGCAGGCCAGAAGAGGGCACCACATCTCGTTATGGATGCTTACCAGCCACCATGTGGTTGCTGGGAATTGAACTCAAGACTTTTGGAAGAGCAGCCAGTGCTATTAACCTCTGAGCCATCTCTCCAGGCCTCTCCCACAGGGGAGTCCATTCTTATTCAAACCACCACATTATAAAATAACATTCAGAATAAAGTTAGCAGCCAGAGCTGTAGTGGCCCATGCCTTTAATCCAGGCAGAGGCAGAGGCACGTGTATCTCCGAGTTTTTGAGGCCAGCCTGGTCTACAGAGTGAGTTCCAGGACAGCCAGAGGTACACAGAGAAACCTTGTCTTGAAAAACTAAAAGTAAATAAGTAAATAAATAAATAAATGAAGAAAGAAAGAAGTTAGATGCAAAAAAACAACCTCAGAAATTAACAACAGAGGAAAAAGTTAAGTCACATACCCATAATACAATGATCTACAGCTTCCTGCCAGGCCTGTCCATTAATGCTGATATTCTCCTGCACAGCCAACTCAAACATCTGCAATAAATTCACAGCAGCCAAGTCAGCAAAAGTGATTAGAAATACTGAATTCAAAAATGTTTGCAAAACAATACTGAAATCTGTGTAACAGAATGGAAACAATGAAAAGTTAACTATTAGGAGAACAGGGGAATACGCATACCATGCAGCAGTGACTGCAATGGCTCTATTAGGGCCAATTCATCCGCGTGACACAGAAGCAACAAACAACAGCGTGGTGAACTGTGGAGAAGTACAGAGGCTTCAGGTTCCACCATGTGCTCCCCGAAAGTCAGTCATTTCAAACAGGACTTAATATACGCTACTGTTTGAAATGTTTTCAACAAGCATGTCTTTGGTACCACTTAAGTATAAATGACTGGTAATTATGAGCTATAATACATATGCCATACGAGCATCTTATAAAAACGGCTGCAATACAGCCCAGCGGACAAGACTTGCCAGCATGTGCAAGGCTTTGCATTCAGTCCCCAGCACTGAAGGAGAAAGAGCTACTCTATAGGGTAAGATTCTTACTATATTAAACTTGAGGGTTAAATGCAAGCACAAATTGCCTTTGAAATTCTCATTGTAGCTCCACCAACCATTTTAACAAGTTACTGTATTGCTCAGTTTTATCTAGAGGTATATCAACATAGTCAAAGCTTCTCTACAAAGGTTTACTTTTAATTCTCTTTAAGATCTCATCCAATAGGCTAAGAGATTAAGGCACATTTGTCTTTTTCTGTATGTAGATGCTCTAAGTATCTTAGCATTTTCTAGAATCAGACAAACCCTCTTATTTATAGCCATCTCCAAAAATAACTACTAAAAATGTTATGAGACATTTCTCTTTTTGCCTTAGTTCCCAGGAGGGTATAACATAGGAGCTACTATACACAAACTGGAATACAGAATTATAATCCAAGGAAGGTTTCATTATTCTTTCACTTAACCTGTCTAACAAGCTACAAGAACTCCTAACAGTACGCCACACCTGCAGTCTGCTCCTCATTTTTTTGTTTTGTTTTTTTTGTTTTTTTTTTTTTTTGAGACTGATAACCTATTTTTACTCTGCACCGTTTTCATTTGGTCACAAATATGCTGTATTACAAGCTTGAAACTTTCACCTACATATAGGCTAGTGTCTGCTAGAATAGAAGCAATCCCTCAAATTTTAGTGTCTTTCCCCAGAAACCATCATACTCAGAGTTTTGCAAAATACAGGAGAAAGGCAAAGTGGGTTACAAGGGCCAATGGGGTAGGGACGGACACATACACACTCTCTCTCTCTCTCTTGTGAGAGTACAGTCTACGTGGCCCTGACTGGTCTTGAACTCATAGATTTGTACGCCTCCGCCTTTCTAATGTTGGGCATGACTGCCATGTACAGCTAGACTAGATCTTAGTAAAATCTAGTGCCACCCACGTGGCACTCCATCACTACAGCATCTTCATCTATTTTCCACTTAAAATGTTTTTGCTGCATTCACAAGATGTTACAAAACAACAGCAACAACAAAACAAAAACAAAAAACCACAAAGACCAAAAAACTAGCCAGTGACTGACTCCAAGGATTACCGCTTCCTGGGGAATTTCTCATACCCGACGGTAAACCTGTGCTGCTCCAAAGAAGCGCCACTTTGTCGTTACTGAGCACTTAAATTATGGCTAGTAACAAAGGTGTTTTGTAAAACATGAGCCATCAGATTTGAAAGCTTAGTATGAAAGTAAAGTGGTCATAGTTATACGTATAGTACTGTACATACTAAAACACACGGGTACACTATTGCCGCCTGTTTCTCAAGATCACATTGAGTGATACAAGCACCCAGGAGGCACTAGCATCTAGTTGCCTTCCCTGGCATTTCCCACGTCAATCTGGGGCATCGTTCAATCCGCGGAGACCTGACTTGGAACCTAAGCCTGGAGCCAGGCTGAGGGGAGTGAGGACCGGGAAGGAGGCGGCCGGTCCGTACCCACTGCGCGTCCCGCAGCGCGAGCTCTCGGATGCTCTCCGGAAGCGCGGGCCCGAGCTCCTGCACGAAGCGACCGCACATCTCCATCACTTCCACCACCGCCCTCTTCAAAGTGCAGCGTACTCGGAAGTCCTCGAGGGGAGGGGGGGATGCTGTGGCCTGGGAGTCTGAGGCGGCCCGGGCATTTTGATCCTGCGGGGCGGAGACGAGCACTGGTTCAGGAACGCCCGCCATCTTCCCGGTTTAAATTGAAGCGGGGGACAACGAGACCGGAAAAATGCTTTCCTCAGTGGAACGCTCCTGCACGCGTCCGGCCGGAAACTCGCTCCTCCGCGGCCGTATGGTTCCGCCCGGGTTTCCGCGGCCCCAGAGTTCCGCCCGGCTTCCGGTTGAGAATCCTGCAGAAGTAGTTATGGGTACCGTGGGTCTGGGGCTAGTGGACTGTCACTGCCATCTCTCCGCCCCAGACTTTGACAGCGTATGTGAGGGCGATTTGGGGGCTTGCGGGAGTCGGGAGGGTCGCGTCCTTTACCACTGCTTATCTTTTTCTCCCCCAAATCCTCAGACCCTGCCTAGTCTAAGGCGACCTAACCGGTTTCCCCTTGAATCTCCATCCTCGTACTCACTGTTCTTTCTGATCTTAGAAAGCGGTAAACAAGCTTGTGCTTGTGGTGTCAACAGCCCTTTCTCCTACCACTCCTGAGATGGGATAGCCCTTAGGAGAGGGCCCAGTTCTGGGCCGGGAGAGGGGCAAACAAAAAGAATAACGCGGGATGAGGAGGGTGTAGAGGTGAAAATAGGTTTGACAGGCTAGGTGGGGAAGCCTGAACATGAAAGAGGAGCAGGGGTCCATCTCTTAGGAGATAACGCTTATGGTGTGAGTGTGCGGAAGCGAGGAACACCAGCAGACTGTAGACCCAACACAGTATAGAATTTAGCATATTTTAGTTAATCAACAGCTGGAAGCGCTTAATAAAAGAGACTTTTCAAAGACTGAGGAGATTTTCAGGGGACGGGAGAGGTAGATCAGTAAGACATTTTAGATTGCATTAGAAGCACAGTTTTAAGCCACTAACGTCGTAAGGCAAATTTAAAAAAGAAGGAGGAGGAAGAGAAGAAGAAACAGAATATTCTGAAGAAAAATTTGCTGCTGAGTGGCAAAACGGTGAAGGAGAGAAAGCTAAACCATTTAAGAAATGTCTCAGTTTACAGAGAAGAGGTGGTGGAGGCCAGTGCTGTGGGAATATCGTGAGAATCAGAGCACATACTTTAGAAATAACAATAACACGCAGGGGACCTGTATGTGTAGAGCAAGGGAGAAGAAGGAATCAGTCACAACATAGGTTTTTCGTTTGTACTGTAAGGAAGATGATGATGCCCTTTGCTGAGATGGGGAAAGACAAAGGTTTGGGATCTGAGTAGTGAGCCAGGCAGAGAGAAACCCTAATGGGGACACACTGGTAAGAGGGCATTTAGAATGTGAGTCATGGGTCCAGGAGAGAGTGAAAAGTGAGCTGAGTTGGAGATTAAGCATGCTATCTAAAGCCGCAAGAAACTGAGATAGAGCTTAGTGGTAGAGATCTTATATAGTGTGGCTGAGGGTGCTAAACAAGTAACAGAGAAATAGGAGCTCTGGCAAGGCAAGTGCAGAGGGAGCAGATGAGCTTGAAGTCACAAAAAGGACAGCGTGTGCCAAGGTGAATTCAGAGAGCCTACAGTGATATTGTGAAAGCAAAGTGTGGGGGCAATGTCCAAAAGCTGAGGGGTAGAGTGAAGAAAGACTTGTATTTGGATGTGTATCTGGCAGCAGAGGAGTCTGTTTCGGTGCAGAGTGTCACTGAGTGCAGGAGTAAGCAGGGGTGGTCAATGGAGGCACATCCTTGTCTGCCACCCTGTCCCTTGCTAACAGTGTTGCCCATTGTGGTGCCCCGGCTGCCTCTGTACAGCCAAAGAGCAGTTGATTCCTCCTGTAAAATAAGTGTGGTTGCTTACGTTTGTTGTAGGATCTGGATGACGTGTTGGAGAGAGCCAGGAAGGTAAGTTATTATCCACCACTTCTCCCTTTGCTCCCCTCCTGTTTTCAAAGGACATACAGATTTCACATACTGTTCACAGATCCTGCTGTGCTTTCCTGGTTAGCAGTAAATAACATTTAAAAGTGTTCGCTCCATGCCAGCCACAGAGCTAAGCCCTATTGAACTTTAGCTCATTTAAAGTCTCACCTTCTGAGGAAGTTACTTTTATAGTCATATATTTTCCATTTGATAGATCAAGAGTCTAATGCCTAAAGGTTAGTAACAGGACAAAGACACATGCTTGTGTGGTGATAAAGATGTATTAGTCTGATTTGAAAACATGTTCCTACAGCCACCACGCTTGGCAGCACAGAAGAATAGGCAAGTCTTCTAAAGATTTATGTATTATGTATACAGTGTTCTGTCTGCATGTACACCTGCATGCCAGAAGAAGGCACCAGATCTCACTATAGATGGCTGTGAGCCACCATGTGGTTGGTTGCTGGGAATTGAACTCAGGATCTCTGGAAGAGCAGCCAGTGCTCTTAACCACTGAGCCATCTCTCCAGGCCCAGCCTTTCACTTCTTAAAGACACATTATTTTGGAGACCTAGGATACATTACAAAAATCTTCTGAAACATTTTTGTTTGTGAGACTAAAGTTTGCAAGGGATAGAGTGCTGGCTCAGTGGATAAAGGCACTTGCAAACCTGACGTCCCATAGTGGAAGCACAGAACTGCCTCCAGAGAGGTGCCCTCTGATTGCCACATGCTCACTGTGGCATGCACATGCCTGCACACGTGCCTGCACATGCACACACAGAAAGAATAAATAAAAGTGAAAAATACAAAGTATAAAATCTTGGAAGTATTTACCAAGTTAGTTGCGCACTGTCCTGTGGCAGCTTAATTGTCACATGGGCTCTGGAGTCACATGAGCCTAAGGACTTCAAGCCCTCCCAGAACGCTGTCTCTGTCCAGTATGTTAAAGCAGTGCCCACCTTTGGTCTGTATAGGTTAGTGAGGTGACAGTTATACTCATCAAACTGAAATAATAAAAATTCAATGCAGTCCAGTCATTTGGTGTATATTATTGGAGCCCGCTTAAAAAAAAAAAAAAATATATATATATATATATATATAAAACTTTAACATTTCCCCTCATTTACATTAAACAGGCATATTGTTTGACATTCTGTTCTAGCCTTCTGTTTTGTTTTGTTTTTTTTAGGCTAATGTTATGGCCATTGTGGCAGTTGCTGAACATGCAGGAGAATTTGAAAGGATTATACAACTTTCAGAAAGGTTGTTGTTGTTCTTTGTTGTGTGTGTGTTCATGTCTGTGTGCAGATGAGTGTGCATATGTGGGCAGGTAGACACCCTAGGCTGACTGACATAGATGTCTTCTTTATGTACTGAGGTGAGGTTCCTCACTAAACCAAGAGCTCACTGATTCTGGCTGCTCTATCTACGCTGGCTTGCTGCAGGGATCCCCTGCCTCTTCCTCTGCCTCCCAAGTGCTGAGGTTACAGGAAGCCACCATGCCTGCCGAGCTGGGGAGCTGAGTTCTATTCCTTGAGCTTTATCTGCCGAGCTGCCTCTCCAGATTTGGTGCTACTTCCAATTAACATTTTGTTTTTTGCTGCCAAGGCTAGTCTTGACCTCATGAACTCAGGCAGTCCCTGCTTCAGCATTCTTAGTGCTGAGACTGAAGCACAGAGTCTCCACCAGCTGTAGCGACCATTTAAAGAGCTGCTAGGAAAGGCCGTGATAGCCAATTTAAATAATGCCAGAGAATTGTTTTTTAAAAGAACTAGGAGAGCTGAGCATGACAGCACAAGCCTGTAATCCAGCACTTACAGAGGCAGGAGGATTTCTGTGAGTTTTGCAGGCAGTCTGGTCTACATAGTAAGTTCCAGGCTAGCAAAGGCTACATAGTGAGACTTGTGTCAAAGAAAATAAAAAGATGGAAGAGGAAAAGGCACCTTCATAGCCCTAAAGCAGAGTCCCCTTTTGCTCTGCAGGGAGACACTGTGATCTCGGCCTAATGTTAGTCTCTTAATTTGTCTACATTTTTAGGTATACTGGATTCATCCTGCCATGTCTGGGAGTTCACCCAGTCCAAGAACTTTCACCAGAAAAATCAAGAAGTGCGACAATAAAGGTGAAGACACGTAAAATGACAAATGTGACTGCTGATTCGGTAGCCGTCCCCACACCACCCCCTAATTCTGTTCTTTGTGGTCTGGGGTTGGGGGGACTGGGGACTGGACCCAAGGCCTCAGACATGCTAAGAAGCATTCTGTCACTGAACTGTAACCTCAGCCAAGGTTTTCATTCTGAGAAAGGCTGGCCTTGAACCCATGATCCTCTTGTTTCAGCCTCCCAGTTAGAATTATAACCTCTGCTACCAAACCCAGCTTCTGCTTCATATACTAAGTTAATAACAAAACAAAGAAACAGCGCCTTGAATCAGGTCAAGCTTGTATGACATGATGGTATAGTAGAATTATGGATTGACTTTCTCCATTTTTTTTTAACCATGTCATACTGCTTTGTCTAAAAAAAAGTGATAGAAGGGCTGGGGAGATGGCGCAGTCAACAGGGTGCTTGCTGCCTGGAAGGTAAGGTGAGGACCTGGAGCACATGTGGAGTAACGTGGGTGCTGCCACACGCTTGTCCTCTGAGGGCTTGGAAGGTGGCGGCCGGGTGACACCAGGCTTGCCTGTCAACCTGTGGCCTAGTTCCTAGTGAGAGCCTTGTCTCAAAGTGAGACTATCTTAAAGTACAAAGAGGATGGCTCTAGCTCAGTGGAAGAGTGCTTGCCTGCCATGTATGGGTCCTAGGTAAAGCCCCCAGTTAAAAAGTCCAGAGCGTGGTGAGGAATTCAGAAGGCTTTACAGAGGACTCAATTTTGACTCCCAACACTCCCACTGGGCAACTTATAACCACTGTAAGTCCACCTCCAGGATACCCAGGATGCCCAGGCCTCTTAGGACGCATGTGTACATACACAATTTAAAATAATAAAAACAAATTTAAAAAACACACAGAATACATAGCCTACATTAAATAACTAATGTGAATCAGGACATAGGCTCAGTCTCTGTTCATCACCTGGCGTGCTCTTTCTCTAGGAGTTTGAACAGGTTCCTGTGAATCTGTTCTGCTTTTCTCATAACTAGAACACACTCCTCTAGGTGCAAGTCTGTGCATCCGAACTTCATCCTTATTGTCAGCCTCTTTCTGACTCAAACTTTGTAAGCAAGCTGTTTCTCCCTCTTCTCCAGTGCCCCTGTCCCCACAGGGTGCTCTGGATGTCCACCAAGAAGATATCTGAGAGCCATCCCGGCGTTTGCCAGTCAGCTTCTCCACTGTACGGGTCCCACACTGCCAGCTGTCCAGGGCAGTGTGGGCTCTCGCTGACCACGCCTGCTGCGACAGCCTTCTAAGGCGTTACTCTGCTCCCCTCGGCCCTGCCTCCCTTCCTCCAGAGTGCACACGTCCTGCTCCTCTGTCGGGGTTTCCTCCTCTCCTTGCTCCTCTCTCACTCTGATTCTCTTCCCCAGAAGAACTTGACAGTTGACATCTTCTGAAAATAGTCCACTAAGTAGTTGACAGTGTTCCACAGGGAGCGGAGGGACAGCTCAGCAGTAAGGGCACACGGTGCTCTTGGGGAGATCACCTTTGCATTGTCAACAGCCATCTGAGAGAACTAGTTCTGATGCCCTCTGACCTCCTTAGGCACCTGCAAACACATGGTACATGGAACTGACTGAGGTACATATGTCGCAAATGTATAGCATAAACATATAATAAACAATTTTTTATGAGACAGGGTTTCTCTGTGTAGCCCTGGCTGTCCTGGACTCGCTTTGTAGACCAGGCTGGCCTCAAACTCACAGAGATCCTCCTGCCTCTGCCTCCCAGAGTGCTGGGATCAAAAGCATGTACCACCACATGCCCAGCTAACAATACACAAATTTTTAAAAAAAACTTATCTATAAGCAATGTCACCTTAGAAGGACATCACAGGCTGAATTGTCTTAAATACAAAGGCACATGACAGAAATGAATGGCCTTCCACTGCTTCAGCAGTGCCCAGGCAAGCTGCGTGCGATGCATTGTTTATAGTTTGCACTCCTGTGACAGGCAGACCAAGCGCAAGATGAAGACAGAGCAGTGCAAAGGGCACAAGGGGAAGACGGGGTACTGATGCAGTAAACCGACAAACCTCTGTTCAGGGGGCACAGCTGTGTGCATGACAACCCCCCACGGTTCTCAGCCACCCCAGACACTCCCGGGCAGACCTGTGGGGCAGTGCCTCCCAAGCAGGGGGCCGCGTGTGAGTGAGGGCTTCACGAGCCTGTGACCAGAACATGTGTGTGTTCTGACATGACAGAGACCCAGCCATAGGCTGCCGAAGTGGATTCAGCTACGTGGAGTAGCAGTGTGGCCTGGGGCCTGGCATAGTACAGACTGAGGAATTAATGTTCCTATTCTGGGCATTTATACATTTACATTTTTTTCCTCACAGGATTTGGATGTAGCTTTGCCCATTATTGAGAATTACAAGGACCGGCTGTTGGCAGTTGGAGAGGTAAACCATTTGCTGATTTACATGGTCTGATCCAGACCGCCATGGCGTATATGCGATAACCTTAGTTCAGCTCTAGCGATTACAGCCGGCTTGGAGAGTTGTGTTCTTCTGTTCGGCCTTACTCGGGCTTATGCTAATGGGAGAGGATGGTGTCATAATATTTCTACAGACTGCTTTTGCTGAAGCCTGCTTCTGCCTTTGCCATTGCTCTGAGGAGCTAAAACAAACCTGTAGAGAGAGCGCCAGTGAAAGAGTTGAGCAAGTGAAAGCACCCGCCCCCAAGCTTGAGGACCTGGACCCCCATGATGAACCTCCTCCTGAAAGTGGTCCTCAGACCTCCACATGTGCACAGTGGCGTCTGCGTGTGACCCTCCACCCAGTAAATGTCATTTCTAAAGTTAAAACAAAAACCTCACAGGCGACACAAAGGCATGCCTTAGTCTTGTTCCTGACTGAATACCGTGTCTCTCAAATGATGACTGTGGTAAAAAACTAAGCGCAGTTAACGAATACCTCTTCCTGTTAAACATAAAGATAAGACGGCACATTCTGCACAGAGCTCACAGGACGCAGTCCAGGCAGCCTCGGGGGGTGGCCTTCTGCAGTGAGCACCGCCAGTGTGGTGACCGCCCGCGACTTGAGTACTTGCAGTGCTCCTGCACCAAATTGAGAGGTGTGACATGCACAGTGAGTTTTAAAGTTGTAATGCCCCAAAAGGGGAATGCAAAACAGCTTAGGCAGTGGGGTACACCAAATACACAACTGAACTCAGTTATATCTGCTCGGCTAATACGTTAAGGTGGCTGCCAGGTACTGACGCGTGTGCTGGGTGCCGACTCATCACACACGGACGGAGATGGGACTCTCTCTCTTGTCTTCCTGTTACAGGTGGGGCTAGACTTCTCCCCCAGATTTGCAGGCACTGATGAAGAGAAGGAAGAACAAAGACAAGTCCTGATCAAACAGGTCCAGTTGGCCAAAAGACTAAATGTGCCTTTGTAGGTGAAGCATCTTTCTGCTCGTAACTACAGAGCAAACTGTAATGGCTGGTCCTCTTGAAAGGAGCCCTGTGTCTCTTTTCCTCTGGGTTATTTGTAAAAATGTATTCTTTCTGTGTGTGGGTGTTTACCAGTGTGTATGTCTGTGGTTGCGTGCATGCAGTGCCTGTGGAGGCCAGCAGACCTGAGGGCGCCTCTGGGACTGGGGTTAGAGTTGTTAACCCTGTGGGTGCTGGGGAGAAACCTGATCCTCTGCCAGAGAAGCTGAGCCTCCTCTCCAGCCTCCAGAATCATTTTACTGCTCTAAAACAGTGTCTCCTATTTAAAAGTCTTCAAAGGAATTTTGTTGTTGTTAAACAGAAACGTGCACTCTCGCTCCGCTGGAAGACCTACCCTCAGCCTCCTACGTGAGCAAGGTACTATGTTCCTACCACTGGAGCTCCACAGCTCCCGCCGAGGGTCTAAGGAGCAAGCATGTCTCCCTCCATCCCTCAAAGAGAAGGAGTGCACCGGGAGGAGCTAGAAAGCCGCCAGGATGAGTGTGATGCCAGGCTGATATTTACAAGTCAAGCTAATCCTTGCAGTTATGTATTTGCCAGGCTTGACTAGAGAACATGAGACCTTGACTCTCCAATTTCCATTTTTTCCATTATTTTTTGGATGTATTTATTTTTACGTGTACGAGTGTTTTGCCTGCATGTATGTACCTTCATGGGTCTGTGCCAGGTGTCCTCATGGGCCTGAAGAGGGCATCAGGTCCTCTGGAACTAAGTTATAGACAGTTGTGAGCTGCCATGTGGGTTTTGGAAACTGAACTCAGGTCCTCTGTAAAAGCAGCAAGTACTGTTAACCACACAGCCACCTCTTCAGGCCCTGGCTCCTATAAGAAAGAAAAAAGAAGGCCAGGAGGACAGTGTCCTCACTCACAGTGTGCATGTTTACTGTCCACTGCTTTGGGGACCAGAGAGCAGAAGGGCTTCCACACAGGCCTGACAACCAGACTTCCAGTCTCAGATCCCATAAGGTAGCAGGCAAGAACCAAGTCTCTGGGGAGTGACCTCTGCCCTCTGCCATGGCATGTGGTACCTATGCAGACACAAATATATAAAAAGAATAAGTAAATAAGAAAACAGTACTGTGCAGACTGTGGCCATCAAATGTAAAGAGCACAGTCACGTGCTCTAGACCTTCTTAACCTGAACATAATTCTTTTCCAAAGCTTAAAATGCCATTCACAATAAGAATACATCTTACTTTTAGACTCCTATGTGCATTAAAAATTCCTGTCAGATGCATAACAAGCAGTACATGTATGTGTATACATGTGTTCAGTCTACAGCTGTATGTATACAAAAACATACATTGGTTGATTATGACTCCTAAATAAATTTTACAACAAATTTATGATCATAATGAATATTCACAGCACTTGAAAGAACACGTGATGGAATAATAAAAGTACCTGCAGTGGGAGGTGTGGTCAGGGATGAGGAGTGAGGCCTTCAGGGGTCACTGAACACATGTCCTGTATGAGCTGGACTTCATGTGGAGGAATGCTCCTTGGGGGTAGAGGGCTTGCCTTGTATGAGTGAGGGTCTGGGTTTGGTCCTCAGCAACACACACACATATAAAAAGGTTAGGCTTTGGTGTTATGAGCCGACGTGTGTTTAATTTGGGAGTCCATTTTTTTTCTACTAGCATTTCTGTTAGGAACATCAGTTTGCCTAAAACCCTTCTATTAAATATTATTTCAACAGCTCATAGACATATAGAAAGGAGCTAGTGATGGAGGGAATTTAGGTGATTGCTTTAAAATTGCATTCCAATGTTATTCAACTATTTTATTCTGAAGATTAAAAATTTATTTTTCTCTTTTCTGAATATTTTATGTTTATTGAAACTGTAGAAGCTATGGAATCTGACTTTATATCCTGGTGAGATATATTTATTAAAGTCCGGCTCTCTGTTAGTTTAACTAACAGGAAGCTGTTTGTTAGGGACCAAATGGAACACTGACTTCTTTTTCCTCTGTGAGGTGCTGAGCAGGTGCTGCTGCATGCTTTTGATGGCCGGCCCTCCGTGGCCATGGAGGGGGTAAAGGCTGGCTACTACTTCTCCATTCCACCGTCCATAGTGCGAAGCGGCCAGGTAAAATCTGTGACTGAAACTCAGGAAGCACTTCGTAAGACACGATTTCAAACCTAAGCTCTGTGACAAACTTGTGATTCTATTTTAGTTACATTTCAAAAATTGGTCTTAGTCCCTATTCAAACACATGAAAAGTTGATTCAAAAAAGCATCTGGGAGGGAGTGGAGAAATGGCTCCAGATTTAAGAGTGCTACTCTGATGCTGGGTGTGGTGGTGACACCTTTAATCCCAACACTCTCGAGGCAGAGGCAGGCAGATCTCTGTGAGTTCAAGGACAGCCTGGTCTACAGAGCGAGTTCCAGGACTCACTTATAAAACAGTAGGTCCAGGCCTAAATGTAAGAGTCAGTATGTTTAAACTCTCAAAAAAATAAAAAAAAAGCAGCTCTGATTTTTGTTATCATAGATTAAGCAATGGTTTCCTAGAGATGACACCAAAAACATAAGTGATCAAAGAAAAAAAATTGTGAAATTAGGCATCATTAAAATTTTAAATTTCCACAATAATAGAAACTAAGACTTTTATATTTATAAGTATACTATCAGTAAACTGAAAAGCCAACCCACAGAGGGAAAAATATTTCTACATCATGTGAACATAGTATAGAGGTGCCAATATAGTCTAATGGTGAACATAGGAACCTGACTGAAAAGCCGGTCCTTCTCTGAAGAAGAGAAGTGACCAGTTGCCACCTGAGGAGAGGCTGAGAACCATTCCCTCCAGAGAAGGCACAGCTGCGCCATTCCACACCACTGAATCTGGGAGGTCCCCCAAAACTAAGTGTAGAATTACTGTTACCCACTAACTCTACCCTAGGAAGATACCCCCAAGAGGAAAATATATATATATTTTTTTGGACATGAATGCTCACACGGCATTGTGTGTGGTAGTCAAAGAACAGAAACAACCCAGAAGTGCATCTTCTGCTGCATGAACAGACTGTGGTACAGCCACACAGCTGTAAAGAGGAAGGAGCTACTTCAGCATGTCACAATACAAATGTACCTTGAAAACATGTTAGTGCAAATCAGCTAGATTTAAAAGAACACAAATTATAAGATTCTGTTTCTGTAAAATGCACAGACCAGGCAAATCTATGCAGACAGAAAGTTGGTTTTGCTATTTGCAAGTGACTGGAGGGATGAATGAGAAATGCCTATTATATATTATTTAAATATATATATTAAAGAGTGACTATTAGGGCATATAAATTACAGTTCAAAGTGCTTGAAAGCAGTCTTTGGTAATTTGCCATTCTGATCATGTTTATGACACTCATCTCTTCTCACTGCCTGACATGAGGATACAGATTACAACAGTGATGCCTTCGACTCTGTGAAACATCTGTATCATTTTTCAAAAACTAATGTAGGCGAAGAATGTGGGATTGAAGTCCAGCCACGGGGTTTTACATCTCTTTATCAGCAGCCATTTGTCTTTTGATTGATTTCTTTGGGGCGTTTCTTACTTTTACTTTAATCCATTTGGTTGCTGGAAGCTTTGGGTGCTTTCTGCAACTTTCAGGAATACTCCTGTTTTAAAGCGGCCGGTCAGAAAGACTGTGAGAACGTGGTGGCAGTTCAGAGAGCACTGGAGCCTCAGTGGGGAACATGGACGCTAGTATCCTGCAGGACCAGACCCACCCACGTGTAAATCAGTGCTGCTCCACTTCCTCCCGCTTTAAACTTACTCTCTCTTTCTCTAAGAAGCAGAAGCTTGTGAAACAGCTGCCTCTAAGTTCTATCTGCTTAGAAACAGATTCGCCTGCGCTGGGACCAGAAAAACAGGTAAGCAGATCTCTGGTTTATGGCGATCAGATGCTCCTTTTTCGGGAGCTGTTCTGGCTTAGCGGGGACTCTGTGTTCCTCACTGGCACTGGAATGCCAACCTCAGGCCGTGTTCCCTGGAGGAGCTGGTGTAAGTACTGCTCTGCATCAGGGAACGCGCTTTCATCTGTGTAATAGTGTTATCAAACATGTCTGGGACTTACTAAGACTTCCATTCAAATCCTTTTTGAGAGTTCAAGACTTAATTGCCTGACTTTGAGAAAGCTCCTTAATTTCTTCAAAACTCTCTCTCTCTCTCTCTCTCTCTCTCTCTCTCTCTCTCTTTCTCCCTACCTACCTGCCTACCTATTCATTCATTATTGAAACTGGGTCTTACATAACCAAGGCTGGCCTCAAACTCACCGAGATCCACCTGCCCCTGCCTTCTGAGTGCTGAGATTAAGGTGTGTGCAGCACTACTGGGGGACCTGCGTCTTACACAGCACAGGCTGGCCTCAAACTCACTATAGAGTTGAGCCTGGCGTTGAGCCTGGCCTTGAACTATGATGACAGCCTTGAGTGAGAACCTTCGACACACTTCTTACATTGTTAGCCTGTATTATCAAGGGTTTTTGCCTTCATAATTTTATGCCTTTTATTAATATCCCATGTAGCCACTCACTAATAATTATAGAAATGTTTTCCACTAAGTCTAAATGGTGCTAGTTGTAGAAATATTATTTTTGTTTTGTTGGTCATTAAGAAACACCACTGGCCTGGTGCAGTGGCACACACCTGTAATGTCAGCACTCTGGGCGGCAGAGGCAGCAGATCGCTGTGAGTTCAAGGCCAGCCTGGTCCACAAAGTGAGTCCAGGACAGCTAAGGCTACACAAAGAAATCCTGTCTTAAAAACAAAAACAAAACAAAAAAGAAAAAAAACCCACTGAAGCTGGGTATGGTAGCACACATATGTATGTATATGTGTACATGTATGTATGTAATCCCAGCACTCAAGAGGCAGGTGGATTGCTGTGGGTTCGAGGCCAGCTTGGTCTACAAACCAAGTCCAGGACAGTCAAGGCTACACAGAGAAACTCTGTCCTGAAAAAAAGAAAAAAAGAAACACCATTGAGGGGCTGCAGAGATGGCTCAGTTGTTAAGAGCATTGACTGCTCTTCCAGAGGACTCGGGTTCAATTCCCAGAACCCACAGCTGTGTATAATTCCAGGATCCAACACCCTCACACAGACATACATGCAGGCAAAACACCAATGTACATAACGTAAAAAAAAAAAAAAAAAAAAAGGGAAAAAAAAGAACCACCACTGAATGTAAGTAGAATATTTACTTTACTGGTATTAAAATGGGTGTTGGAGGAGTCAGCGAGATGGCAGAACCTGCTGAGTCTTTCCAGCCCCTGGGGCATTTGAAACCACACTGGGCAGGCAGCCTTGGAGGTGAAGGGGCCACGCTGAGTGCAGTGACATTTCCCAGCACTGCAGTGTGCCACAAAGCAAAGGACAGTTAATCCTTCAGGCAAGCTGCTCTCGTGGGCTCAGTTGGCAGACAGCTTCCCTGGCTGGTTCTTATGGCTTCAAGTGCAGGCGCCTCTCGGCTCTTTTCTGGAGCAGCCCAGACTTAGAGGCAACATTGTTGTCCTGCCTGCCAAGTTCATCCCCTTCCCCATTCCAAAAGCAAAGACGTGTCAGTCCCTTCAGAGAGGAGAAAAGGAACCTCACCGGTGTTTTATCAGCCCAGTCTTAGGTGTGTGTGTTAGCTGCAGCCTCAAGGACCTGCACACTTTGATGTCAAGCCTTTGTTGTCTTTCAGACACGGAACGAACCCTGCAACGTTTCCATTTCAGCAGAATTCATTGCCCAAGTGAAAGGGATCTCAGTGGAAGAAGTCCGAGAAGTGACAACACAGAACGCATTGAAACTGTTTCCCAAGCTGCAGTGCCTGCTCCAGAAATAGCTTCAAAACCACCCCCTGCCAGGCCGAGCCAGCCCAGGGCAGCAGCGGGAAAACAAGTGTTCGCGTTAATGGCCTGAAACGAAGAAGCCTTTTTACGCGCAGAGTAGTCAAAGCCTGACAGAGATGCCCCCTTAGACGGCTCACCCTTAGGAGCACTCAGCCGCTGCTCTTCCAGAGCTCCCACCCTCAGGTCCCAGCAGTCACGTTGGGTGACTCACAACTGCCTGCGAGTCCCTCCCATCTCCAGAAGATGCAGCCGCCGCCTCTGGCCTCCTCTGGTACTAGCATACGTGGCGTACCCTATACAGACACAGACACATAAATAAAAATAATGATTTCTAAAACGTTTTCTTTTTTTTGGCTGTCCTGGACTTGATTTGTAGACCAGGCTAGTCTCAAACTCACATCAATCTGCCTGCCTCTGCTTCCTGAGTGCTGAGATTAAAGGCATGTGCCACTGCAGCCCAGCTAAAAACTCTGTTTTTAAAAAAGGAAGATTTGGCTTGGATACTGAAACCCTGGGCTCTGACTATTCGAAAGTCATGGAGCAGGCTGGGAAAGACAGACACACTGGCTTCTTGAGGGAAGAACAACCCCCCCCCCTACACACACCCTTTCCCCACTTAACAATAAGCTTATGGGCCTCTATGGGCATGATGTCTTAGCTGAGGTGTGCAGGTAAGAAGGACCCAGGTCTGAGCTGAGGCGGGAAGAGGCCATTGGCCAGAAGCAGCAGCAGCTGTGAGAGCACTGAGGCATTTCCCCGCTAAGGAGACAAACCTCACCGTGTTGCTTAGGCGCAGCAATGCTGTCTCAGCCTCCTACGCAGTTGCACTGCAGCCTCAAACCAAAGCACCTGCCTAGTAAGGACATACCTTTCAGGAAATGATAACAGGAGGACAGAAACTGGCCCCACTTGTCCACACACCTGTCAATTGGTTCTTGAAATTAGGACGCCCAGGATCTTGTGCTCAAGCATAAAAGTTAGTGCACAACTTTTTGCCCCATAAGAAGCTTGAATAGGGTGATGGTAGCCATTATGATATTGTACTGCCCTGTTTTTTGTTTTTGCTAGTTTGTTTTTGGAGACAGAGTTTCTTTGTGTAGCCTTGGCCATCCTGGACTCACTTTGTAGACCAGGATGGCCTTGAACTCAAAGAGACCCACCTGCCTCTGCCTCCCAGAGTGCTGCTGCCCTGGCATTGTTAGTTATTTTTATAAAACTCTCAGCTTCTCTCTTAACCCAACTATCACACAAATAATTGAGACTTTTATATTCATTTAGTAATAAGCTTTAAAACATAATAATTGAGCAGTTGTTACTCTATTCTTAACCCTCTAAACTAATTTGGCTTCCTTCCAGCTTGCATCACAGAGATATTTTCACTTTGTACCTTTCCTGCTCCAGCAGGAAGATATATCTTCTTCTGATCTGTCTTGGACCTCTCCCAGACTGAATCTCCTACTTCCTCTTCTAATTCCTCCTCCCCTGGCTGGCAGGAATTCCAGGCGTATTCTCTCCCCTGCTCAGCGATTGGCTGTAAGCCGCTTTATTGGCATATCAGGGGACAATGGAACAGAGTTTATTCAGCATTGAGACCGGAGATTCTCAGAACAAGGATTGCAACCAGATATGTAAGGTTCATCAATCAGCATTTGAAGCACCTGATAACCTTATGGCTACAGGCACCTTGGCAAGAGTGAGAGTAGTGTTAAGAATGTAATGCTGGCCTGCATCTGCTGCCCTGGCCATAGTGCCTACAGCACCGTCCCCTCTCACAGATACTGACAGGCATGCTATGGAGAACACTCCCTGTAGCTAACAGACTGTCAAGCTCGAAGACCTCATCTGGGGAAGTGAGTTTACATCCAGGGGGCGCTGGTAGTCACTCCTCCTGCTCCCCACCCTGCCCTGCCTCTGCCTGGGTCTCAGAGAGCCTGGCATCAGGCTTGTGCTGCGACACCTCCACTGTCCTCAGGAGGTATAAGAAGAGACTCTCTCTTCCAAGAGAGGCCTGGTTCCTGAGTTCCCACCGTGTTACCTGAACCCCTCAGGACCCCTGCCATGCTGTTGCCTGTCCATGGCACCAACAACCCAACAGTCTGGCTTCTTTGAACCTGCATCCACGACCTTTAACTTTCTGAAGAGCACAGTGCCCTCCTTTTGGCTCTCAAGACCATTAAAAAAAATGAACCTTGCGGAGCTGGAGTCTTAAGGAAAAGAAAGGCTTTAGTCTGATGCCAGCCAGAGGAGAAATTGGTCTCCCAAGAAGAGATTACAGAGTTCTGACAACTTATCAGCTCTCCTTACAGGACAAGCAGAGCCTGGACAATGGGGCTGATGGTGGCTAGAAACATGCTGACCAGGACTGCTGACCAGTTATACCTGTTTCCCCTCGACTGAACCCTCAGTGCCAGGCAGTTGCCTGGACTTCTTCTCAATGTGGCCACAGTAAACTGGTTTTTCTTTTTTCACTCCTACGCACACTCCCACCCCCAGTGAGCCTGTCCGGCCTGGAACTCACTATTTACACCAATCAGGCTTGAACTAACTTGCACCTGCTTCTGCCTGCTGAGTGCTGAGGTTAAAGGCACCACCACCCCAGCCTAGTAACAATGCCTAAAGTCCAGGCTGTTCTCTGTAACCTGCCTCATGGGCTCACGGAGGAGGAAGAGCCTACAAAAGGGACATAGCAAGAGTGTTTTCAGCATGCTCTCCAAGGAAGTGTGCAGATTCTCTGGCCTCTGCTCCTAGGCGGAGTCTCTTGTACTGGAGGGAAACTGAAGACTTGGGTAAGGGCTTATGTCTGAGACCCTTACACAGCCCATTCACGCTGAATCACAGTGCAGCTTACGGGCCCACACCATTCTCGTCTGAAGCCTTCTTAGATGGTCACAGTTGGTTGGTTCTGACCGACCTCTGGCTTAGCCTTCCCTGTCTCTTTGGGCACATGGCAGTGCGGAGGAAGGACGTGGATTCTGTAAGAGCTCAGGGAGGAGGTATCAGTTGCCTGTGCCTACAGTGACAATGTTGCCACACTAATGTTCTCTCCAGAGTACCAGAGAAGCAGTGTGGAATCCTGTGTGCACATTAGTGGGCTTGATGGGGCCCTGCAGGAAGCCAGGGCAGAGGAAAGGTGCTCTCACATGCTGGCTCCTGGGAGATGCAAGACTCCATGCCTGCTGATTCAGGTAGGGTCAGGGTCCAAATACAAATGTGCTTCTGAGTGTCTGGGTTCAGCTGGAGGCTGCCATAGGGTACACAGGGCAAAGCAGAGATGTTTAATGGGAAGGGCTAAAGGACGTTATCACGAAGGAGGTGCCTTTAAGTCACAGGATGGGAAGGGAGCTAAGAGGCAAAGGCAAGTAGAGAGAACTGCAGCCATTTGTGGGAAGGCAGAGGCACAGCTACAGGGTGGGGTAAGGGCAAGAAGGCTGAGGGGATCCAACTACCTGACAGTCATTTCTCTGTGCTCATTCCTACATCACGCTGGGCCCTGGCACCTCTCACCGGGATACTTAGAATATAAACTGTGGATCTTGTCCCTTGTTTCTGTTCAGCCAGGGAGGAGACACTAATGGCCGTGGGGCCAGGTGATTACCTCAGAAGATAGAGATAAGAGCTCCCTCAGGAGCAGAGGTAGGCCTGGTTACGTCACATAATAAAGATAATGTTTCCTTACAGGCAAAGGTTGGATCTTTGGCTGTGAATCAAGAGTCTAATGTCTTCTGTCAGGGCCCATGCTCATGAAAGGAGTAAGTCTCCCTTCAAGGTTCTTGAAACTGGGCATCTACTGTTGAAAAGAAAAGTAGTTCTAGTCTCATTACACATCCCCAGCTGTTTTCAGGGACAAGGTCCTGAGACATAGCCCAGGCTGGCCTGGGATTCACTGTCCTCCTAAGTTCTGGGGTTACAAGTGTTTGCCATAACACCAGGCCAGTTTTTTTTTTTTTTATAGTTAATGCTTCTAAATAATTCACAGACAATGAAGACTGTCAAAGAGAGTTTATTTGTTGTCTCTCGATATATACTTCATCCAAATATGGCATTATCTGAAAGATAGAAAATACATTTATTGGGCTGGTAAGATGACTCAGCCGCTAAAGGCTAGGCTCCTAAGCAAAACAGCAGAAATACATTTCAGCAATCTAATCTATGGCACAGATTTTAGAACAACCTGAAGGGCAGATGGTATCTTTACTCTTTCACTTGTTTGTTCTTGTCCTAGATTAACTAAAGGCATTGCCTATTTCAGACAGAAAGACAGACAGACACACAGAGAAAAGGGAGAGAGAGAAGGAAAGAGAAAGGGAAGGAGGGACAGAGAGAGGGGTGGGCCAGGGAGAGGGAGAGAAGAACATCTGTCAAGTTCCCGAGGCAGAAGCCAGCTTGGCATGTCCCAGAAGAGGAAGAAAGCAAAGCCAAGGGGCCAGGTAAGCAGAGGAGACTATACAAAGGGCAAGCTGGGACTGTTCAGGAAGAGTCATGTGGGTTCTATCCTCAATTAGGTGGGAAACCACGTGAGTTCTGTGCAGCTGCTAACATAATGTGTGTTCTGGTCAGTTCACTCAGGTTGTCCTGTGAAGTAAATGTGGGAGCAGAAAAGGTACAAACTGGGTACCCAGAGGCTACCATAGTGTCATAGCCGGGTACCATCAGCCAAAGGCTAATATCCTTCTCTGGTTTTAAGGGGGGCCAAGGTGATAGCAGTTCAGATTCAGGACTGATTTTGAAAGAGAAGCTGACAGAACTTGCAGACACACTGAGTAGAGGTGAGGGCCAGAGTTCCACACAGGTCTTTGGCCACTTCCCAGATGAGGAAGGTAAGACCAGTGGTGAGAAGTCACGTGTTTGGTAGCAGGAATTTTTGTCTCAGGTGACTTCAAGTGGAGTGACAGTGTGATAGTGAAATTCAAATGTGGGGCCACTGGAGAAGAGATGAGATGTGAGTCCTCTTGTGTCCCAGGATCAGGTCAGCACATGCTCCAGCCTGCCAGACCTGCCTGCTGCCTCTACCCTGCTATTATGGCCACTGACCCTCTGGAGCTGTAAATCAAACTCTTCCTTCCATGAGTTGCCTTGGACATAAGGCCTACCCCAGTTCAGAAAATAACACGTACCATGCACCAGCTGCCTGAGTGAGCTACCCTAGAGAGGACCAGGAAGGCTGGATTGTACCTCCTCATCCTTCCACACTCAGAGCACAGGAGAACACCAGCTTCCAAAAAGAGGCTGTTCCTTTGCAACAAATGATATATGTAGCTTTGTATTTGTTGAGACCAACTAAACTAATACCCTTATTAAACCATAATGTTGCAGCTCCTAACTTAACAAACGAGAATTTTCTCTGCACCTGTTCTGGCTCTCATTTGTTCTTAGTCCAGAGCAGCAGGTCTCTGGTTCTGCCCTGAGGATGGGTAAACACTCTTTAGGGATAAGGTGGCTTGGGGACTGCTTTTTAGTGAGTTTCTCTAGTCAATGTCTGGTTTTTCAATAATAAAGCCAACATTTTTATCTCCATCCTAGTTCTCACCTGATGGAAACTCAAGTCAAAGGCAAAGCGCTCTCTGCTCTCTAAACAATGCTTTGGGGTTATTGGCTTACAGTTTTGACACTGTGAAAGTTAGTTATGGGATTAGATGTGCTGGACTACTGTTGGAAACTGTGCACGTTCTGGCTTGTGTTTGTTCTAAGAGATGGATTTTCTCTCTACCATCAGAATGGTAAGAACTGACATACTGTTGTTCTGAATAACTCCAGCAGAATGAAGAACTGGATTATTTCTTTATAACTAGGAATGTCAAACCATTCTTTTTTGTAAAGATGGCTGGGTTTTGTTTGTTTTTAAACAAAAGAAACTCTTTAAGAACCTTAAATCACAATACAGTGTCTGGGCTTTCTGCGTCACACTGAACCACCTCCATCTATCAATCCCTGAGGACACTGGCCAAATGCAAAGTCAGCCACATAACATCCGATGTGGGCCATTCTTTGGGAACTAAATTAATAGTATATTGGCTATATTGAATATAATTACATTTGTACACCCTTTCCAAATAAATAAGAAAATATTGTCAGTTGCCTGGTTTGACTACAGAAAAGATTCACAATCCATATTAAAAACAATACCAAAACAACCATTTACCTTCCCCACACAACTTCCCTCTGTATTTTTATTACGTTTCTCATGGCATTATATGTCACATTTGTTATTAGAACCCTATTTTACTTCAATTTTGAACACAAAACTGTAAACAACAGAAACTGGTGAGACAGGAGGTCTGTGAAGGGAATGCAACTCTTCTCCAAACGTGTTTGTCAGACCATCAGCAGTTAAGAGCTACCTCAGTAGGCCGGGAATGCAGCCTGCAGGGCCCAAACACCTAACAATGGAACAAACTGGCCCATGGTGGGATTGGGGTCCTTTAGATGCAAGAAAATGAGTCTCTGGCCTATTGTGGGTCCTATACCAAGCAATCTATTTTTTTGCCTTCAGACACATTGCCTTCAAAGACGCCCACGAGCAAGACTTTGAAACCACTTTCAACCCAGCAATTCTGTCTCTGTATTTATCCCTCCTACAGGATGGTAGGAGTCCTACCGTATTATCTTACTTTTTAGCGGGAAGTGCCTTTTCTCCTTGAATACCAGGAATCTCTGGTTGACCCAAGAGTCCCTGCCACTTTCAGGAACAGGCACTTTGATATGCGTCCAAGCTGAGGACTGGTGGGCCTGGCTGAAATGCCTCCTCTGAACTCTCAGTAAGCTCACTTGATTGCTTCTTTCCACCAGACAGTGGGACTCTCGCTTCTCATTGAGCTCTTCCAGAAGCTTCCTGTGCATTTGCTGTTTTTTCTCAGCATTGTGCCTCTTCACAGATGCCATTTTGGTAATGCACCAGTTAGCACTGATTCTTGCTATCCTGCAAACACATTGAGAATACTTCTTAGTTTCCTGCCCAACTCAGAAGCCAGATTCACCATGATATCCACATGTTCCAGGAATTTCTCCTCCTGTAAGACCACACTCCAAAACACAGTACAAAACCAGCTTGGGTGATTATTGCCCCCAAAATATTGCAAAATTCAGCAATGTCCAACAGTTCATGTTGTATTTTCCTGTCACAGCCTGTGGCTGATCTAAGATGGGCTCCCCTCTGACTTATGTACCTTTTCCATTTTATCTATCTTCTCTGGGAAACCTGTGAGCTGAGAGCTATACCTTTCACAATATCTGCCTCAGTTTGAACGCAGTGTAAAGAGGAGCACATTGAGGAGCAGTTGAACCTGGGTATGGTACTCACACCTGTAATTTCAGAATTCAGAAGGCTGAAGTAGAAGAATTGCTTTGAGTTCAAGGCCAGCCTGGTTACAGAGTAAGTTCTGGGTCAGCCAAGGCTAACATGAGTCCCTACTTCAGAAAACAAAACAATAATAACAACTATATAAAAGGTAATGTATAAGCCACCTAAAATAGTCTGCTGGTATTTAAGTGATTTATATAGCTCTCTTTAGGTATATATTTCAGAAGAAAAAAAAATCCTCTCAACGTTGGATTCAGCAATTTTTAGTTAAAGGAATTAGAAATGTCTTATGGAACAATTAGCAAAGTACTTTGAGTTGCTTTAGTAAAGCTGACTATCCTAAGTACTAATTAATAATGTGACATAGAAGTTATCAAGAATAATTCACCTGAGTATGATGGTGCACACCTTTAATACCAGCACTAGAGGGGTAGAGGCAGGGGAATCTCTGTGAGTTCAAGGTCAGCCTGGTCTACATAGTGAGTTCCAGGACAGCCAGGGCTATGTATAGAGACCCTGATCAAAAAAGAAAAACACAAAACTAAACAAACAAAATTATGGATAAACCTACAGTTAGCTCAAATACCTCATTTAACCATTGAATTCTCTCTAACCAATGATGCTTATTCATCAGAAATTAAACTCTAAATGCTATCTCTTTTGATACTCTTTGGGAACACTGAGATGCGTATTTGAGATGAGAGCTGTACCGCTGACTCACATGCTCGGCCTGGCTTTTACCGGTCTTACCGTCTCCTGGATGTGTACACACGAAACACAAATGCAGATAGGATTCACAGTTTGTTAAAAGCCTGCTTTAAGGATCTACTGCAAAAGATACATAGCCACACAAAGGTTCACTGAGGTGACATTAAAACTTTCACAGCCCAACACTCAGCTGTAGAATCTAGCGGGAGAGCCATGGACTTCGGGTCATTTGGATTTATAAGCTTGCTGTGCCACCTGCTGCACACACATCTATTACAGGCACACCTGAGCCTCGGTTTGCCAACATGCTCAGCGTGCCATATAGACTGAGTGAGCTAACACATCAAGAGTTTACTATTTTCCCTCCTCAACAGATAGCCACTTTTTCACATAATTCGGTCCCCTGAGACAAGTGTTCATTCTATCTGATAAGTAAACTGTGTGTCTTGGTCTCCCCAGGTACTAATCTGGTTACATGTGTTATGGTGAGAATTGGTGGGACCCAGTGAAGCCAAAACTGCTGGATCCTTGTTAAAAAAAAAAAAAATCAGTCGAGACTTTTAGGGGGTTGAAAGTAGAGTGCCTTGCCAAGTCAGAGAGAGGCTCGGTTGAGCGGCGGCCTCCACAGGCTGCAAGCCTAGAGAAGCGGCCCTTTGCGTGACTGGCACAGAAACAGGTTGGTCTGCACTCCCTGTTCTCCCAGTTCCAGTCTCTCAGCTGGAGACAAGCTGTGTGTGCAGACATGTGATACTGAAGATATTTGAAAATATGAAACACAAATTCAGCAGACTTTGTAGAGTCCATATTTTAAGCCTTCCCCTCACTAAGATCTGCTAGCCTAGGTCAATCCTCATGGCTTTCACAGTCCATGGAAGACAAGTGCAGAGCAGCAAACCATCTCCCCCTTCCATACTCCCCAGGCAAGGCTCGTGTGGCCACTCCCCCTTCCTTTTTCAGTTCTCAGACTCTACTTTCTATGGTCGATATTAGCATCATATTCTTCACTATTGTGGGGTTTGTTTCTTTCAATGCTTAAAATGATGTGGGTATAGCACTGGAGTGCTCTCAGTGATTCTTACACACAGGAAGGTGTAATGTACCTCACAGGAGGATGTTAGGTAAGCCTCAATAAGCCTGAGATAGAGAACTGTTGGTTATGAATTCAATGAATCAAGTTTGAGTTCTCAATATATATCAAATAAGGTGTCTTTAAGCAGAAACAGAAACAGGGTACACTGGTACATACCTATAGTCTCACTTACCCTGGGCGCTGAGGCAGGAGAATCATTTAAGACCAGTAGTTCAAGAACAGACTGGACAGTACAGTATGATCCCATATCAAAATAACAACAAATCACAAACATACAGAAAATGAGGTTACACACTGCCTGGTTGACCACAAGCTTTTAGGAACTGACTCACCCAGGAGACTGGTATTGCCAGTTCAGTGTTTACAAAGATGTGACTAAACTACCAGAATAATGAGAACTAACCATACACAGAGAAACAGCACTGCCACTTCCACAGGGACATCAGTTATAAATTACCTTTGGCAAACACCAACCCAAAGCCTAGCTGAAGTCCACAGTGAAACCAGTGTACTGGACAGTTACCCTGGCGATGGAATTCTCTGGGCTCTGCCGCCTCAGCTCTTTTGTTCTCAGAACCCTGGTTAACTGAAGAAGTCTCAAGCCAGAGACCGTGTACTTCCTAACCAGGTGCCCTTGGATAGGTATCTTGACCTTTGTTTTTATTATCAGTAAGACATTAAATCACGTGTAAAAGGGCAACAAAGACACTCATTAAGTTGTATGTCAGACAACAGGCATATGTGTAAAACTGTGTGTAGCATCTGCTTCCTATTTACTGAGTTCTGAATTTCTTGAGCACTGTGTCTGGCACTCCCAAGGTAAACAGTTATAAGCAAGAGCATGCTTCCATGAACAGAAGTACTAGGAGCTCACAGAATCCTATGCCCAAGAATCTGGGACCAACCTAAGTGATAGATATCACATGGGCCTATCGCCAAAAGAAAAAAAAATACCTTCATATTTTACACAGAGGACTATTCATATAAACACCTGTCTTTCTTTGTTTTTACTTTATTATTATTTTTTTTATCTTTGAGTTTCTCTATGTGGCTCTGGCTGACCCGGAACTCACTAAGTAGACCAGCTGGCTTCAAACACACAGAGATCCACCTGCCTCTGCCTCCAAGCGGTGGAACTAAAGGTGTGTGCCTCTATGCTCAGCTCGGAGAACTTTCTTCACAAAAGGAGATCACCTGCTTTTTACGAAACCCTTAAAAAATAAACTTCAGAAACAGATGTCAGAATTTCTTCTATCTCCTTGCAGGGACTTAGTGATAGGGGAAAGACGTACTCTTAATGCACCGGTTCATGAAGTGTATGACAGGATATGACGTCAGCAAACACACCTAAGTCTAAAAACCCTGAGGGCTGGTAACTGAGAAGACCAGGGCAGAGCGGTTGGAAGGATGAAGCAGCGTTGTTTTGTGTTGGATGCCATACATAATACCTGATCTTGGCATCCTTAACTTCAGATCTACCCATATTCTCCCCCTTCCAGAGCAGCCGCAGGGAGATTTCCATGGTGAGCCTTGGCTTACCTAGCTATAGATTGGCTCGTTGGCACAGATCTGTGCAATAAGCTACAGGCTGGCTAACTAGTATAGATCCGTGGGATCAGATAACAGATCTGATGGAATTCAGTAAGAAAGCTGAAAAGATGTTCCACATTAGTTTTTCTAAAATACAGATTAGGTTATTAATTCAGAATATTATGCATGCTGAGCCCAGATACTATTATTTTACAATGTGATAATTTGTCATATAAGTAACCCAACCTGGAGTATTCTCAAGCTACAGATTTTTCCTGCTCAGAGGCCACTTTCCCTGTAGACTGCACTTTAAGGCTACATTGATCCCCATTCTCCAAGATTGCGGTTTGCTGACTACCCTAGACTTCACTCAAGTCTTACTTCATTCTGCTCCAGTGTGCACACTGAGCCACACCAGCTCTTTCACTCGCCTGAGCAAAGGGATGGTGTGCTAGCATCCTCATATCCTCCGGTCTGGACCTGAGGAATTTGCTATGAGTGCTTCAGGCTGACGATTTCTGTGATGAGACATCAAGACCAAACCGACCTGGGGAGAAACGGGCTTATTCAGCTTATGCTTCCACATCATAGTTCTTAATTAAAAAGGGTCAGGACAGGAACTCAAGTAGGGCAGGAACCTGAAGGCAGGAGCTGATGCTGGGACCATGGAGGAGTGCTACTCACTGATGCTGCTGACTGGCCTGCTCCTCACAGCTTGCTCAGCTGGACCACCAGCCCAGGGATGGCACCACCCTCAGTGGGCTGGGCCCTTTCACATCAAAATACCATACAGGCTTGCCTATAGCCTGATCTTATGGAGGCATTTTCTCAGTTGACACTAGCTTGTCACAAGCTGACATTAACCTAGTCAATATAGGTAGTTAATAAATACTTACAGCTGTGTGCAGAATACTCAGTCACTGAACTGCTGCCGAGCATCCCTGTCTAGACCAACACCAGGCGAGGGAGAACCAAACACTTATCAGGGGTGTGGTACACATCTGAGATCCCAGCACTTGGGAAGTTGGCAAGAGCCAGCATTTGAGGCCAGCTTGGGCTGCATAGTGAGACCTTGTTTCCAAATACAATGAGAAAAAAGGTATTTTAAATAAGCAATATAGCCAGACGTGGTGTTGCCCACCTGTAACCCCAGCACTCAGGGAGGCAGAGGCAGGTGGCTTTCTGTGAGTTTGAGGCCAGCCTGGTCTACAAGGGAGTCCAGGACAGCCAGGGCTACACAGAGAAACTGAGTCACTTAGCCTCCATGGGCACCAGCCAATCCAAATTTAGGAACATAGCCACAGTAGGAATTCCTTTCTGGCTTTAAAGGGGGCCTGGTGAGCTCACCTTGGGGTCCCTGCCATGTGTTGAAGGTGGTGACCCCAGCATGCTGGAATTCTCTGCAGAACAAATGTTCTTTGTTTTTGCATACCATCTGAGGCTGGGGCCTTTCTTCAGCGATTCACAGACCCTAACAAGAAGACAGTTTTAGATCCCTGAGAGCCAAAATTACAGATGGTTGTGAGTCACCATGTACATGCTGGCCTCGAGCTCACTTCCTCTTCAAGAGCAGATGCTTTTGACTGCTGAACCATTTCTCTAACCCCATGATGGACAATTTTAATCTACCAACAGTAATCTCACAAGAGCCCAAATCAATCAGCTCTTCTAAGCCTGCACAAGCCAGCTACAGTATAACACTGTCTCATTTTAAGTCAGACATTATGTTTAAGAATCTCTAGGGGAATATAAGTCACATGTTTAACCTTAAATGGAATAAAAATGTTTAGAGGAAGTTAAAGTTGTTGATCACAGAGCTGGAACAATCCTTTTCCCTTTCACAGTGAGGTTAAACAAGTGTGGAACGGCTGACCCAGATTTGATGTGCAACTCAAAGATCCTCGACAGTGATGTGTTCTCATTATCTGATGGGGGATAGGAATCTGGCTTAATTTCCCTGACAGTTCCAACTGCTGTGAAAGACCAAGAGGAAGAGAAACAAAACACACAGGAGGGAAAAGTCTAAGATTATTTTTCTAGGAACGCAATATATGCACATAACTAAACTGTCTCAGCAAGGTGTGGAAAGATACAAACAGAAGGACCTTAATTTCTGGGCTTCTCCGCCTCTTTCTACTTCCAGCTGTTTTTCCAGAGTGGAATGGCCTGGCCGCTGCTGCTTCGGCAGACAGCGTAGCGGCAGCAGCACACAGTGAGTCTACCCACTCCCCACAGAGCACGATGGGTTGTACGGCTGTTAGCATCACTCTGATCTGTACATCATCATCCTGAGTTTCCTAGGCTCTAGGAAACCTTTGTTCATGAGCAGCCACATCACTTTAGTGGTGCGTTGGACCTTGACTCCCACGTTCTGGCTAGGTTCCATATCAATAAACTGTTACTATTTAAATCTCTGCAGCCTGGTACTTAGCACACATGATAAAGCTCAATCTGGTCTTGACTCCTGGCCAGCTGATGCTCCCAGGAACATCCTTTCCAACAGAAATTAGGGTTCATGTTATATTATACACCTAGACATATGGTATAAAGTATGACTCAGGCCATAAAGGTTAATAAGTATCTACCTCAAGAGAGAGCGTTCAAGTTGACCATCAACCACAAGAACAAGTTTTCTTTTTCTGTAGCTCCATTCTCTATGGAGCTTTGTTGAAACAGGTATATGAACTGTATCTAATTCTTCCATTAAAAGCGTCTTATTTTACTTTTCATATGGCAACAATGTCAAGAGAAACCTCAGATATCACATAACTCAGTTTTCTAAGAATTCTGAGCAATTCAGAGACCATATCCATGACATACCTGTTTAGACAAGTTTGCTAATGCTTGTTGGGGCTGATGTCAGCAATCATGTAGTTGTCCAAGTAAGGAAAGTGGTGGTCCCTCCAGCTGTGGATCGCCTCTGATGAAAGAAAGGTATTAACTGAGTGCTTTCCCTCAGAGTATGTAGCTAGTCTTTGCTACTTTGTCAGTTCTTCTTTTTCCCACCTTTTATTTTCCTAGTTTCACTGCATAACAGTGAAAAGATACAAGAACAGAAAGAAAGAGAAACAAGAATAGAGGGGAGAGAGGAATTTGGAAAATCCCTGAATCTTATTTCTTTCCTTTTGTTTCTTCTTTGGCCATGGCTACTAACAAACCACAACGAATCCCCCTAAACGACCACCAGACAACGGATCTATAGGGGCTCTAGAATGCATGTACTCTCTGAAAAGTTTCCAGAATTCTAGCCTTCACGCAATCGCAGAAACTATCTGCAGCTGGCAAAACCGTACTTCTACTGGAACAAATCATAGTCTGCTGTGGGCAGTCCAAAGCAGCCCATGTCCCTGAAACCAAAATTCTAAGTTGTCACTACAGTAGTACCCTGTAAAATACCCTCCAGGTATGGGTCCTACCATTACACATTCCGACTGAAAGTGCTTGGTGTGAACAATTTGAACAATTGCATGACAATCCAAACAGGCCAAGATGGTGTCAAACCAGCTTAATTAATAAAAAGAATAAGTTATAAGAAATACACATATAAGTAGATAATATGGTGATACCATTTATTGAATATAGGAAGAGGTCGGGCCCTCCTGGAGTGTGTGTTTATTTACTACTAATTTATTTCTCCGTGTCATCCACCCTGCCCTCATTTACGAAGTACTTTGTGGAGCTCACTGCAGCACGGGTGCGTCACGACACACAGTGGCTTCTCCCTCTGCAGCCCCACACTGCTAGTCCCCCTCCCATCTCCCCATGATGGAAGGGGGAGTTTTGGGCGGGTCCTGTGTAGGCATTAGTGCCACAGCCATGCCTTGCCCATAAACAGATTTCAGCTAGGCATGGTGGCACCCATCTTCAATCCCAACACTCAGAAAGTAGAGACGGGTGAATCTCTATGAATTCGGGGTCAACCTGTCTATATATTCAGAGTCCCGGGCCAGCCAAGGCTACACAGTGAGACCCTGTCTAAAAAAGAGGAAAGGAGTAGGGCGCATGCCTTTAATCCCAGCACTCAGGGAGGCAGAGGCAGGCGGATCGCTGGGAGTTCGAGGCTAGCCTGGTCCAAGACAGCCAAGGCTACACAGAGAAACCCTGTCTCGAACCCCCTCCTCCAAAAGAGAGCGAGCGAGAGAGGAAAGGAGGAAGGAGAGTATATCTTAACACCTAACGCCCCGCGTTGGTACACACAGCTTCCCAAGGGGTAGCAGGCAGACTTTGTGGCCCCAAGACTTCCGCAGCTCTGTCCTCAGGCGGCCCGGGTCAAGCCTCTGTCTCTGGCTGGACTGAAGCCCCACCTGGCGCTCTCCTTCCAAGATGAGTGGAGGCTACGCGTGACCGAGCGGGCGCCGGGGGAAGCCTGAGGGGCTCCAGCCTCAACCGCGAGGCCACCGCTCTCCCCGGGCGGCTCTGGTCCCGCCCCTCTCCCCTGATTGGCTTTCCGATCTACGAAGGCACCAGTGATTGGCTGGAGCGCCGTCACCTCGCGCTACGCGGCGCTCTGGGGGCGGGGCCCGCCGGCCCCAGCCAGGCGCCGCGCGCAGCTTCACCCAGTCAGCAAGCCCCGCGGGCAGGCGCCGCGCTCCGGGAGGGACCGTGGAACCGGCGCGGGGGGCTGAGGGGCGGCGGGGCGGGGAGCAGGGAGGCATGGCGCGACCCGACGACGACGAGGGCCCGGCCGTGGCGCCCGGGCACCCCAAGGGATACCTTCCGGTGCCGAGGGGCGCCCCGGCCGGGGAGGCGCGCGCGGAGCCGCACGCCGGGCCCGAGGCGCTGAACGGAGGCCCCGGGCTCGCCCCCGGCGCCGCGGGAGCCCCGGGCGGGCCGCGAGCCCTGCTGGCGGAGGAGACCCAGGCCCGGCTGCTGCCTGCGGGCGCCGGGGAGGACGCGCCGGGCCCCGCGCGCCCCCGGCGCACGGCGCTGTCGCCGCGGCGCTTCGTGGTGCTGCTCATCTTCAGCCTGTACTCGCTGGTGAACGCCTTCCAGTGGATCCAGTACAGCATCATCAGCAACGTGTTCGAGGGCTTCTACGGCGTGTCGGCGCTGCACATCAACTGGCTGTCCATGGTGTACATGCTGGCCTACGTGCCCCTCATCTTCCCCGCCACCTGGCTGCTGGACACGCGAGGCCTGCGGCTCACGGCGCTGCTGGGCTCCGGCCTCAACTGCCTGGGCGCCTGGGTCAAGTGCGGCAGCGTGCAGCGGCACCTCTTCTGGGTCACCATGGTGGGCCAGAGCCTGTGCTCCGTGGCCCAGGTCTTCATCCTGGGCCTGCCCTCCCGCATCGCCTCCGTGTGGTTTGGACCCAAGGAGGTGTCGACGGCTTGTGCCACGGCAGTGCTGGGCAATCAGGTAAAGGCTGGGACGGCTAGACCCCGGGGTCCTGTAAGGACGGTGGGGCTGGGCGCACGGTCAAGGCGGGTAAAGAGCATATGCTAAAAGCCAGAAGCCTGGGCTCCAGCACCACGTGAAAAGCCGGGCCTGGTGGCTCCAGGTTGGATTCTCAGCCAGCACTGACAGGTGAGGAGGACAGCTCCCGAGAAAGGACGGCCGAGCCGGCCCTTGGCCTACACACAGGCACGCACGGAAGCTTTGACAGGGAAGGAGATCTCATAGGTATTTTTGTCGCCACTGAAGAAGGAAGGTGTTGAGTCCTGGGAAGTTTGTTTCTATATTGAATATCCTTGGAACAGCCCTGTTTTATTTATCAGTGACCAGTCCAGCTTGGCACATACTGAACACGTAATAAGTGAATGTTCAATAAATGTTCTGGTGATAAAGACTTGGCGGTATTACTGAGTGCAGTGACTAGTTCTTAACTGTCAGGTAGTGGAAAGCAAATCACTGATCATGGAATGGTTAGTGGTTTAGCAAGCCGCGGCTCCCTTAAGAAGTGACCTTGTCTGTCCTACCAGCATAAATTCAAATGCCATTAGAATTCCAGGAGCAGTACTAGGCAACAGGTTTCTCTCTCTCTCTCTGTGTGTGTGTGTGTGTGTGTGTGTGTATGTGTGGTTTTTTTTTTTTGAATCAGGATTTCTGCCACTCTGTAGGGCAGGCTGGTCTGGAATTCACTGTGTACCCTGGCAGGCGTCAAACCCTTGACAGTCTTGCTTTTCAGCCTCCCAGACGCCGCAAAGAGCTGCCACACTATTGTGTTTGTATCTGTTAATTTTAGGCTAGTTCTCTTATTGTCATTTAAAATCTTAATAGAGGGTACTCTAGTCACCACTGTAAATGTCACCATTGTAAAGGTTTGTATGCATCCATCTGAAGGAAGTCTAGTTAAAAATCTACACCCCTTGCTATGCATAGTTGCTACATGCAACTATGTGTCCACAGACGGTTACTTCATTGCTTCAAGTCTCACTTGAGTAAAGAACAGGGTTTAAAATGCCCCCAAGACTATATGTGTTAGGCTTATTTCAGTTAGATTTGCTTTCTTTTTCTAAAAATGCAGAAGAAAGGGTCACTTAAACTATAATTCTGTGTATCCAAAATAATTTATTTCTGATACTTTGGTTTGGTTGCTTTTTTTATGTGTAGATAGCAGGTCTTTTTAAAAAAGATTTTTTGTTTCTAACTTATATTCAAGATTAATGCTTCCTTAAGCATAACAAAAATGTTATCAACTATCTATGAAGTATTAATTTATGGGTAAGTGGAAGCATTTTCTTAGAGTGGAGTTCCCTCTTCTCAGCACATTTCTGGGTCTTCCTATGTTCTCCTAGGGTCTTCTTATCTCATCTCTTCTAGGCTCTTATAAACGTATGGTTGTTATTGTGACCAAATGAGCATTTTCAGCCTCTCTTCTGGAGTGGTCATCATACTACAGAGCAGCAGCATGCAGCCACCAAGAGTTTGGAGACACTAAAGTGATTTTGTGCATGTGTCATTTAACTCTATGTTGTAGAGTTAGGAACTGTTAGTTGAAACTTTAAGGAATGAAATAATATTCTGAAGGTAATAATACAGTATGTTCACATATAAATATGTCTGGTTCCCAAATGGTGGCTCTTAATTTTGAAAATACAAGGGCTGGAGCCATGGCTCAGAGGTTAACAGCTCTGGCTGTTCTTCCAAAGGTTCTGAGTTCACCTCCCAGCCATCGCATGGTGGCTCACAGCCATCTCTAATGAGATCTGGTGCCTTCTTCTGGCCTGCAGGCACACATGCAGGCAGAACACTAAATAATAAACAAATCTCTAAAAGAAAAGAAAATACAATGCTTTACACTTGCCAGTGGGAAGAGTTTCCCGTGAAGTACAGACCTTCATAGTGTGTCTGTCTTCTTGGTTTCTAAACAAGAGTTTACTGTGAACTACAAACCTTGTGTGTCTGTCTTCTGTGGCTTCTAAACAATGCCGAGCATGCACTTGCACAAGGGTCTTTACACAAACATTCGTTCCCTGCGCTTCAGACAGTCTTCCTGTTTGGGTCACATGACCTCATGCTTACTGCCCCTAAGCTCTCTTCATATTCACCTTTAATAGCCCTCAGTTTTCTTGATTCCATTAGTTTTACTCAGTCATTTTTTTAATACATCATCTTATTGTCTTGTGTTTATTGTTTACGTATTTACAAATGTACAATATTATTCTCTATTTTTCATTTTAGTTCCCCAGAGTTTTCCATATTCCTTTGTAATTACTCATTTACTTTCTTTTTAAAAATTTATTCCTTTGTGGGTGGTGGGGCAGGGTCGTATATACAGATACACACATAGGAGGGAGGTGGTTGGATGAGTGCACACTTGAAAACCAGAGGAGGCTTTTGATGCCCTCTATCACCCTGTACCTTATCCTTCTGGGGGAGTCTCTCACAAACCTGGAGTTTAGGTCTTTCAGCTAGGCTGTCAGCCAGAAGGCCCTAGGGTCATCCTATCCCGCCCCCAGTGCTTCAGGTACAGGTGTGCACGGGACCATGCCCAGCTCACTGAGGGGCTGGGATTAGAACCCTGGTCCTTGAGCTTGTGTGGCAAGTGCTCCTGCCCACTGAGCCACCTTGCCTGCCCCTAACTGCTTTCCATATGGTTTCGTCTATGCTAGAAATCTCATATAGGTGAAATTGTATGTGTGACTTTTTGTGTCTGAGTTAGTTCTCTGTCATGTTTTCACAGTTGGCGGTATACCACTATATCAGGCCTTTTTACAGATGGTAATACTCTGTTGGTGAAGATAAACGTTTAGGTTATTGCCATGTTTTAGATTTGTGAATGGGATTGCTGTGAGTATCTGTGTATATTTACTTGGATATATCTATTTTTAGTTTTGGGTCATACACCTTCAGGTGCGATTGAAACATCATATTTCAGTTCTGTGCTAAACTTGCAAAGAAATTGCCAACTGTGTCTGTAGAACAAGTGTCCCACTTTCTTCCATTCTTGAAAACACTTGTTTTCTGCTCTTTCCAGAACTGCTCTGTCCTTACAATCTCGCTCATCCTAGTGGATGTAAGATGGGGTCTCACTGTCATTTTGATTTACATTTCCCTTAACAACATGGTATTGATATTTGTTTTTTTATATTCTTAGCTGTTTGTGTGTCTTTGGAGAAATGTCTTTTCAAGTCTTTGGCCCATTTAACTTCAGGATTCTTGTCTTTTTGTTGTTGGATTATAAAGCTTCTTTATTCTGGATGCCAGTTCCTTATCAGATATAATTTGGAAATATTTTCCCTATGTTGTATGAGTTCTTTATTACCTTTTCAGACATAGGGGAGAGGTTTGGAAACAGTAGAGTAGAGGCAGAGACATTAGAACAGATTTCTCAGGGTTCACAGCGCACCCTTACACTACACGTTCTGTGTCTGTTCTGCTGCGTGCTGACATGTAGTCTTTGTTGCTGTTGATCTTACAGCTTGGAACTGCAGTTGGCTTTCTGCTGCCCCCCGTTTTAGTGCCCAACACGCAGAATAGCACAGACCTGGCTCATAACATCAACACCATGTTTTACGGAACAGCATTCATCTCCACGTTTTTGTTTTTTTTAACAGTAATTGGTAAGTAAATTGTTTGTCCTAAGGCTTAGATAAATGCATGACTAATCCATGAGAATAACTAACTGGAAAAGTTCTGCTGACGGTGTCTCCGGTGCTGTTTGTTTTGGTCTTGCCTAGGTCCTGAATGGAACAGCTTTAGGGATATGTTATGGTCCACTAGGTGTTTTGTTTTATTATTACTCTTTTTTTTTTTTAACATTCTGAAGAGTTTGAAGATTAATTAATCCCATTTATCTTCCTACTAACCAACTTTGTAAGTGTCCATTTCAAACATGTTGCCTGGCTTCCCTTCCCCTGTTCCTCAGTGTAATGTGCATCTTGTATTTGCCTCACCTGCGGTTGCTTCCTGTCATGCTCTGAAGCGATGCGATAGGCCACCGCCCTCCCTTTGATAAGACATTTTCCAGGGATCCCTAGTTTAAATTTTTGGGTCTAGAAATGTCGACCTGTGAATGACCCTGGGCAGCACTAAGCTGTTCGGAATTTCAAACTGTGGCAACTGTCTGCTTGTTAGGCCACTTCAGCAAAGCCTGGCCGCCATCATTCGTCCCTGAGTCCTCTCGTCTGAGCCTGTCTTTTGAAGGAGTCAGTCAGAGTCAGCTGCAAGCAGCCATCACCAGCTTGGAAGAAGCTTTGGGAAGGTCTGCTTTTTTTTTTTTTTTTTTAGTTTATTTTTAAGGGGAAGCAATTTTGGTTTCAGGGGAAAAGATAGGCCAGGTGTATCTAGTATTTTGCTGCTGCTGAAACTGGAGTAGTGCCTGAGAGCCTCACAGTAGCCCTTAAACAGATTGATTAGGAAAGGAAATTTGATGCTCACAGACCATTTTTTAATAAACATTTCTAATTAAGCTGTTATGATTTGAGGTTTTAGATTTACATACTAAAATTTTACCTTGGCTAGAAGTAATTTCAGTGAAAACTTCGTATTTTATGATCTCCAGATATGAAGTTGAGTTTTCAGAGAAATGGCTACTAATTGCCTGGGCAGGTGAGCAGCAGGATCAGCTGTAGGAAGCTCAGCCCACATCTGCAGTTTCCCTTGAGATAATGAACAGAATGTTCTCTCGGAAGCATTTGAAGTATGCCAGTACGTGCAGTTGGCTTTTCAGTGCCTATGTTTGCAGTTAGTCAGGGAATGGCATATTTAAAGTATGCACACTGCTGAAAACCGACAAGGTTTTCTTGTACTGTTTTAGTATTAATATTTTAAATTTTAAAAGAAATTTATACTGGTGAGGGAGCCTCTTAAATCTGCTCTTCTGGTTGGTAGACTTGGTTTGCTTGATGAAGAAGGAACCACTGCTTGTGTACATTTTAGAGAAAGGTCTTGTGCTCACAGTAGGGTTAAGTATCGTGTCTTTTTTTTTTTAACTTCACGCACACGTCCACCTTGCTGGATCTGTAGTCGAGTGTCTGCTCAGAGAAATGAACAATTACATAAGGCATCTTTATAAAAAGGGCTGGAGCGATGGCCCCACAGCTAGGAGAGCTTGCTACCCTTGCAGAGAACCGAGTGTCCCAGCACCCATGCCATTGGGTGCCTCTCAACTTCCTCCAACCCTAGCTACAGGGATCTGACTTCCTTTTTGGACTTTTCTTGGCATTTGCATTCACATGTACAGACTCTGCCACACATATACAAATAATTAAGAAAAATATTGTTTTTAATGAACTAATTAGCAGAGAGATGGATCAGGGGTAAGAGGACTTGTGCACTGCTGCTTTTGTACAGGACTTGGCACAGTTTCCATCTTGCAGTGTAGCTAGTCACAGTGGTACACATACAATCCCAGCACTTGGGAGGTAGAGGCAGGAGGATCAAGAGCTCAAGGTCATCATTCTTGGCTACTTAGCTATCTCAGGGCTAGCCTGGACTACATGAGACCCTGCCTCAAAAAAAAAGCCAAACAAAAAATGTAAGATAACATAGTCATTGTGTAAAATTGTGACAGTAAATGAGAAGCCAGCTTGTGTGGTCATACTCAAATATTTGCTATGGAAGAAAACTGAATCTGAAAATTCTTACTTAAAGCTTCTTATTTTCTAGGAGAGGTGATCTTACATCCGTCTAAATTCTGCTGATAATTACTTAAAAGTCAACCAAATCCATATTATGGATGGACATAAATTACAGTTTTTAGCAACATGATAGGTATTGAGCAGGTATTCATCAGGCTTCCTCAAAGACTTCCTTAAAGGTTCACCTTCTGTAACCCTCTTCCTTGTCCTCACGGTGTGTGTGTGTGTGAATGTAACCCAGCCTTCCACTGAGTCCACACTAATTCCTGGTTCTTTGAGCAGTCTGGCCTCTCACGTTTGGACAATAGATGTGTAAAAGCGTAGCTAATGCACACTGCTTCTTTTGGTTCTTGTTAGTCCTCAGGATCCTTTGAAGAAGGTGTTGTTCTCATTCCCAGCTTACTGAAGTTCACACACGTCAGAATATTAAATTTGCCAGATGTCACTGTTAGTGAATAAACAGGGTCTGCTTAGGCCTTGGCCTGTGAGCTGCTTGTTGCGTATGCAAACATCATTTTAATTCTTGCCTTTAGTTTCTGTTTCAGTTTAAGTTCCTTCTTAGAAGTCGCGGTGCTCTTTAAAGTCTTCACGTGCATCAGCACCAAGCTACAGAGTTAGCGCAGGCGCATTAGCTAAAACCTTCAGCCACTGAGGGAGTTGACACCAAGAACAATGGCAGTAAAAACATTTACTATTAGTCTACTCAAACACAGAGTGTATAGACTAAATTTGTAATTGTACTTTCGATACTTCTGTTCAACATGTCTACATGGCTATAAAACTTCACAGAAATACATTTTACTTACTCAGCCTAAAAGTATTTCAAGCTCGAGCAAAGTCTGATTTATATGATTTATATTTATATAAAATATTGTATTTATTTTTTATTTTTGGTCTCTACGTAGCCCTGGCTGTCCTGGAATTTACTGTCCTTACTTACTGTGTAGACCAACTGGCCTTAAACTCACAGAGATGCACCTGCCTCTGCCTCCCAAATACGGGATTAAAGGTGTACACCATCACATCCCACTTTAAATGAATATTCTTCAAAAGACACAATATATTTTGGATAGGACTTGAGATTTTGTGTGATCTTTGTAACAACTTATCACTGTCATTTCCATTTAATGAATGAGAACCTAAAACTGAGAACAGTAAGACAGGGCAGTGGCAGAATTCACAAGTGTGCTTCCTTCTAATAAGAGTGTGTGGTGTCTAGTGAGAGTCAGTGCAGTAGTGAAAGAGCTCTGACCTGCAGCTGTGCAGGGCTCTGAGCAGCCCAAGATGGCTGGTTCTGAACCATGGAAGGAGCCATGTGAGTGAGCGCTCTTGAAGCTTCAGGCAGTTTCATGTGCCTAATGCCAGGTGGACAGTAATTGCTTTTTGAATTTAATAATTCTTTTATTGGTACAGATTTTTAGTGGAAAAGTAGTTTCCATTTCAAAGGAAGAAAGGTGCCATTTCCTGCTTTGAGATAGCTACTCGACATAAAAAGGTCATAGACAGATGGTCTTTTGTTCCTCTTTTTTCTTTACATAGCACCGACTTTCCAACAGTGTGTAGCTGGCAGGTACAGGTTTTATTGAGACAGTTTACTTCTCAGAAATGAAGGGATGACACTTGTATTCAGAAAATAAATCTAAATGGAATTAAAGTCTGGTGAGAATTGCTTTCGTTTTATATGAATTTGTGAATTCATATTTGGTTCATTTTGACTTGATTTGCTATAATAAATTGAACCTAGAAAAGAGATGTAAGGCTTTCTGGGGATTCATGACTATAGTCATTCCCAGTCTGAAACCTGATTTACTACTGTGAACATTTTGTATTACCTGTGTTAATAAAAAGAAATGTCTCCTACCCAACTAGGATACAGAAACACTTGCAGGACAGACATGAGGCCTCCTAACAGTGCAAGGATCAGATAGGGAGAAAGGAAGAGGAAGACTTACAGCAGCTAAAGGTTTTGTGCCTACCAGGCTCCAACGTAAGGATGCTACAAATAAGTACCTCTGAGTTTTGTGTCCTCTTGAATTAGTTCTCAACTCTGAAATAAATGTATACTTAGTTTGGTTTTAGTTACATCATAATTAATGTTTTTTCCCAACAGAAACTTTTAATTTTCCATTTTTGTCAGCAAATAGAGAAATGATTCATAGTATTTTGTGGGAGTTATAAAGACTGCTTTTCCTTCGCTGGTGACTCTCAAACCTGTCTACGTATTGGGAACATGAAGAATTGTATATTTAATGCAGAGTCTCATATTAAATCCTGGAGATTCTGCTGTTGAACTTTGTGTAGAGTCTCAAAATTAGGGTTAAGTTTAAACTTTCCAGTGATCCCAATTGACAACCTGAGCTATCAGACTTAACCCACTTCAAACTGAAAACAAAGTAGGCATCTTCCAACCACGAAGAAATGGTTATGAAAGGGAAAAGGGAAGAGAGAAAAGGGCAAAATGATGAAGGGGAGGAAGCGGGTTCTGTCATTCAATGGTTAGTGCTCCGAGAGAACAGAGGGAGGAGGTGTCCGTTTTTATGAACTCTCTGATGATGGCTGGCATGCACATCAGGGATCTGTGGTGATGGAGACATGGTTGCCTCAAAACCTCTTGATACCTGGGAAGTAACTGAATCCAAGCATTTATGTCTTTCAAGTGACTGAATTTAAAAGTCACATCCTTGCCGTAGTAAACATTGATCTGGATTAGCTAAAAATGGGGTAGTCAGTGGGCAAAGGTAGTCTCATTGCCAGTGGTTTTTCAGCTCAGATGAATTGGCAAGTTCTCTTGAGTTTTACTTTGGAGAGCTAAGAGGATAATGCCAAATTATTCTTCACTTAGAAGCCAGTGAAGATATATAAGTAAATTTGCTATGAAAGACTTTTTACTGCCTCTTTAGTCCTAAACTGAATTTTGTCCTCTCACTAAGAAAGATGAATAACTTAATTATGTGTGGTTTGTGAGTGTACTGTACATGCTTAGTCATATATGATCATTTTCATACATGTGCCCAGCATTCAAGGAAAAGCCTCCCTTCCCACCGAGTCAGGCTCAGGCACTGCTTCAAGACAGCCCCCCTGCAGAGTACTCCTACAAGACTTCCATCTGGAGCCTGTTCAGAAACATACCTTTTGACCTCCTGCTGGTCAGTTACGGTGAGTGGTAACCGTGGAGCACTATGGATTCTTTCCATTGAAACTAGTAGCTTGAACATAATGAAGTTAGTCCACGAACTCCACAGCATAATCATGAAAATAAATCTTGAGATAAAAGCAAAAGTACCTTAGGGATTTTTTTACAAAAATGTTTTTAAAATAGAAAAAAACAAAAACAGATCTTAGAGAAGTGCTTTATCTTTTTTTGAGTCCTGGTGGAATGTTACATCCAGGATGTAATTCTATATTTCTAAAGTTTATATGGAGAACAGTTCTAATTGTCCATGAATACACATCTGAAATTTACAACACCACATGAAGATAGAAGCACCTTCGGAAATGAAAGGGTAGAAGTGGGAAAGTGAACCTGAAGCAAAGATGGCACAATGTTAATGTCTCACAAAAGTCGCCGATGAGAGGATGTGTTACTCTCTGGTCTCTGTGTGTCCGACTACTTCATAGTAAAGGAGAAGGAAACAGTAACTTGAATCTCAGCCAGGTTCCCAATCCAGCATCTCTGAGGGTGGGCACACCAGGGTTTGATACTACGTGTGTGATTCCTTTTTTTTTTTTTTAAATTCTCTTATGAATTGTCTTGTAAGTCTTTGATACAGGGGTTAGGTCTCTGAAGCAAGCATTTTGTTATGCCACTAACGAGCTGGTTTTTTTTGTTTGTTTGTTTGTTTGTTTGTTTAGTGGGGGTGTGGTGCTAGGAATCAAACTGAGGGCCTTATGCATCCTAGGCAAACACTATGAGTGAGCCCTGTTTGACTTTTAACCACCATTGGCTATAACTCATAAAAGCACAGGAAATGTTGTTTGAATGGTTGCCATATGCATAATTACAAATAGTGATGTGGTTTATAATCCACATGCCTGAATCAAAATAATGTGAATAACAAAATCTTATTTTTCATTTTCTGTTGTCAAAACAAAATACTCAGCATTGGGTACTTTATAAAGAAAATAGGTGTATTATTTATTTCATATCTTTGGAGACTGCAAGTTCAAAACCAGGGAGCTCCATCTCTTCATCTCTGCTGAGGAGTCCTTGGGGGCGTTCTGAGAGGGATAAAATTTGACTTTGTGCCAAATATGCCAATGGGTTTGGTGGCATTATTTTATAAAAGCTTCCTCAACTCGTGACTGGCTCACTCCATGAGACCCAAGTAAATCTTTCTGAGGAGCCCCTGAGCCTCATCTCCTGCTCTAGGAGGTTCCACCACCTTTGACCACCTCTGTGGGAAACCAAGGTTCCAGCCCAGATCTATAGTAAAGCTAGTGTTAAGTCCAGCTGTCCACTTTCTGAAAAGCAGCCATGGTGGCTTTAGTCCGAGAATGTTACATTTTCCACATGCTGTTTCATAGAGTGGTGACTTAACTCTTTTATAGGTATCATGACGGGAGCATTTTATTCAGTTTCAACATTATTAAATCAAATGATACTGGAAGATCATAAGGTAAGTTTTCATCGTTTTGTTTTCTGAGACAATCTTGTAGTGAAATGTTGGTTGGTCTGGAACTCCCCATGTGGACCAGGCTGTCCTGGAACTTGGAGTGACTCCTCTGCCTGGCGGTCTGCTTTTATATTGCATGCTTGGCCAGGACCTTTTCTCTTTTTTTTATTTATTATTAATTACACTTTATTCACTTTGTATCCCCCCATAATCCCCTCCCTCCTCCCCTCCTGATCCCACCCTCCCTCCCCTTTCTTCACGCATGCTCCTCCCCAAGTCCACTGATAGGGGAGGTTCCCCTCTCCTTCCTTCTGATCTTAGCCTATCACATCACATCACATCAGGAGTGGCTGCATTGTCATCTTCTGTGGCCTGATAAGGCTGCTCCCCCCTCAGGGGGAGGTGATCAAAGAGCAGGCCAATCAGATTATGTCAGAGTCAGTCCCTCTTCCCATTACTATGTAACCCACTTGGACACTGAACTGCCATGGGCTACACCTGTGCAGGGGTTCCAGGTCATCTCCACGAATAGTCCTTGGTTGGAGTATGAGTCTCTGGGAAGTTCCCGGTGTTCAAATTTTTCTGGTTCTGTTGCTCTCCTTGTGTGGTTCCTGTCCTCTCCAGCTCTTACTATTTCCCACTTCTTACATAAGATTCCATGCACTCTGCCCAACAGTTGGCCATAAGTCTCAGCGTCTGCTTTGATAGTCCTCAGGGCAGAGCCTTTCAGAGGCCCTCTGTGGCAGGTTTTCTTCTTCTGATGTCCAACCTCTTTCAGGACCTTTTCTTTAACAAGGTAATCTGCATTAGCATGGTCCTAAAATGATCAATTATGGCTTTGCTGGAAAAGATTATGCAGCAGCCCATCTAAAACTCGAGGTGGAAAAGGCTGAAGAAAGCAGATTTGGGGAACAAAGACAGACGAGTCTCACAGTTAGAGAAGGGCCCGGTCCCCGAGTGGATGGTGGCTCCTGGTGCAAGTGGCGGCATCCAGTTTCCTCTGTTCTCCTGGACCTAGTGCATAGACTCAGTCCGAAATCACTATCTCCCATGCTTTTCACTAAGCACACTTATTCCAATTTGTAAAACACATTGAGAGTAAATATCATTAGCATTGTGGCAGACTTTCACTTGGTCGTATGGAAAAGTGCAAAACCTTGTAAGGAATGCAAGATAGAGCATGAAGGTCTGTGGCCTTGTTTGGAAGGAGCCAGTGTTTACAGTATTCCGTAAAAGCGCTGCCCTCAACTCTGCACATGAATAAATGATTGCAGAGCTTACAGCCATGGAGGGCCCAGGAAATGCTTCTCTTTTTACTTCTTTCATTTTATTTACTGTTATTGCTGCTGTTTTAAAATAGAATACCTTCAATAGACCACTTTCTCCCAAAACCCAGCTCTAGCCCGTCTTTCTATCATGTGCTTAATTTTATATGACTATGTTAGTTAACTACGTAAGTGTATGGGAATATGAACCACCAGTTTGAATTAGAAATATCTGATTATCTCCTGCAAATTATTTTAGGGAGAAGAAGTGAATGCTGGGAGGATTGGGCTAACGCTAGTGGTAGCTGGAATGGTGGGCTCTATTCTTTGTGGCTTATGGCTGGATTACACCAAAACCTACAAGTAAGTTACAGTATATAACTTATGAAAGCTCCGTATATGCTTGGGATGGAAGTAAAGCTACATTAGTGTCAGGAGAGAGGGTTTCACTAGGTAACTTGGGCTGGCCTGGAGCTCAGGCATCATCCTGCCTCAGCTGCCCAACTGCCAGGGTTACAGCGTGTATCGCCATGTCTGAATAAGACTGAGTGAGTCTTTTAGTGATCTCTCTATGTTCTGTTTTATGTTCTGTTTTGGTTTTATTCATTCCATTATTGAAAACATGAATGCCTTACAAACCTTCTACCTTTAGCTCTGCCTTTGTAGGTTGTCTAGCTAAAAAGAACCCTCCCTGACAGACTTTGTCTTTCTTATGCTGTGAACTACAAAAAATAAAATAAAATAAAGTTCTTTGCTATGAAAAATGATTGTTGAGCTAGCTACATAATTCACGGGTGAGAAGGGGTGGTTTGTAATTGTGAGGAAGTGGGAATTAGCCATATTGTCCTCTGAAGGGAACACTAACAGTTGTGTTTGTTTCAGGCAGACAACTCTGACAGTGTACATTCTGTCGTTCTTTGGGATGCTCATATTTACTTTCACGCTGAAGCTCAATTACATCATTGTGGTGTTTGTTACTGGTGGGATCCTGGGGTAAGTGTCAGGTGTGATGGAGACATGGCGCCCTGCTTGTACGATTCTGAAGGAGTGCTTAGCCCTCCAAAGTCTCTTTTGACACTTTAAACTCTGAGAGTTCCACCATGTGTAAGTGGGCAGTTCCTCAGAACTGTAACAGGAAAGCTCCCCCCGACAAACAGATGTGCCTTGCCTGTGTAAGTGGCTTTAGCTGTCATAATCGCCTGTGTTGTGACCTTGTTTTCCCCCAGCTTCTTCATGACTGGTTACCTTCCCCTGGGCTTTGAGTTTGCTGTTGAGATCACATACCCCGAGTCTGAGGGCACATCCTCTGGGCTCCTCAACGCTTTCGCACAGGTAAGCCTCTCTTTCTCTAACCCGAGACAGTTAACCAGGTGTGGCAAGAGCAATTGCCAGCACTTGATAGTTAGAGGCCAGAGGACCAGGAGTTCAAGGCCAACCTGGGCTTTGTGAGACTCTGTCTCAAGGTAATTACTATATTGTCAGTGAGCTTGACCTGACTCTGGTTTAATCATGTGCTTTTCAGTGCTTATTTCTGGAAGCCAAATCTTAAGGAAAGCCAGTGGAGAGCTCTGTGGGGAGTGTGTGTTTGCTCTAAAGCATGGAACCTAACAAGAATTATCTCACACATTTTATTTTAGATATTTGGAATTTTGTTTACATTGGCTCAAGGACAGATCATGTCAGACTATGATACAAGGGCAGGAAACCTTTTCCTCTGTGCCTGGATGTTCTTAGGCATCATTTTAACAGGTATGTGTTGAGTGTGTGTACTATGTTATTTATCTGTATTAAGTTTTGTGCTTTGCTGCTTAAAGGCTTTGCAGAACTCTGGGGTTAAAATGAGAAAGGAAGCTGGGCATGGGTGCTCATACCTGTAATCCCATCATTCAGGAGGCAGAGGCAGGTGGATCTCTGTGAGTTTGAGGCCAACCTGGTCTACAAAGTGAGTCCGGGACAGCCAAGGGCTACACAGAGAAACCCTGTCTCAAAAAATCAAAAAAAAGAAAAAAAAAGTTAGAAAGCAGGACAGTTTGTTCTCGGGATGTGGGTCTGTCCTTTCACTTTGATGGTTCCAAGTTTAATACCATTATCCTGAGGAAAAGACAAAACTGGGGCTGGAGGGATGGTTCCCTGGTTCCAGGTTCCCACCATCCAAATGGTAGCTCATAGCACTCTCATTCTAGAGGATACAACGCCCTCTTCTGGCTCCTTTACTACTGCACAGACATATATGTAGGCCGCACACCCACATACTTAAAATAAAACTAAATAAATTTTTTTAAAAAACTTTTTAAAAAACCATATAAATTATTTATGTCACTTGTATGTGTATGTATGTTACCACTTCCACTTGGACATATGTGCGTCTAGCACCTCCCTGCCCAGGATTGAATTCACTGTATTCCCATTGTACATATCTGTTTCTCGTGAATTGTTCTATCTCAGTTAACTAGTGCTGTCATCCGTTCTGAAGTCACCCACTTTCCCTTCCACTCCTGCACCCGTTACTCACATCCTGTCTTTGGTAGCTGATGGCTGACCTGTCATTAAGTCAAGGGCTAAGGCCTTTTCTTGGCTGGAATACTCCTGGAGGAGGCTGCGGCACTGTAAAAGGAGGAGGTTGTGCTAACTCTTGGTGCTTCTGTTTTAGCACTGATCAAGTCTGACCTGAGAAGACACAACATAAACATGGGGCTTAGAAACGGTGACGTTAAAGCTGTAAGTAACAGACATGTTTACGGCTGTGCTTGGAATGCACAGCAGGTAAATGGGAACCCATTCTTGTTTAATCCGATTTTCTTTTATTGAGTCAATTCAAGCATTGATTGTTAAATAGCTTGTGTCAGGTGTGGTACAGTTCTTCAGTGTCAATTATTTTTACAGGTGCCAGATGACAGTCCGATAGACGAAAAACCAAAAGTGATGATGTCTCCACAGCCGGAATCTTCACTCTGAAGAGGAAGTGGCTGCCCCAGCATGGGCCGTGGCATCATCTTAGGGCAGCTGTGTGAGCAGTGAGGACACCTACTTGAAAACTACTGGATGAACTCCGAATATTATTTTTTAAGTTAATTTAAGCAATCCTTTGCTTAAAACACCCTTGCTTACATCTTGTTAACACTGCCGTTCCTCTAATACTGTCTATTTTCAGTTGTGTACTGTGTACCTGAAAGCAATGTTTTTTTCAGGATGCTTTGTTTTTTATGGAGACCTAGTTCGTGTGTGGCATGGAAGAGTATGCAGTTCACACATGAACATGTCTGGTACATTCCCAGTTGGCTCTCATCCTGCTGTGCTGACCACATCAGGTGTCACAGTGTGAGTGCCGAATACCATCAGGAAGGACTGCCTCACCCAAGACAGGGCTGAGATGAGAGTCCACAGGAGCCCGCAGACCTCTCCCACATCTCACACGCTTGTGATACGGTGTGTTGTGAGACATTCTGTCCCCCCCAGCACACACAAAAAGCAGTTGTGTGCACAGACCAAGTCCGTTACGCTGTGTTAGTTAAGGAGCTGAGGCACAGAGATAATCTGGAGGTCCCCTCTGTGCTGCCTTCATACACGTAAATGCTAATGCTGTATTTCCAGTGTGACTTCAAATAGCAGCTCTATGCCTGTTGTCCATTTTTATAGAAAATCTGTGCTATGGGCTAGCTCATGGTTTCTTGTATCACATCTGTGTTTTGCCTTTGATAAGGAAGTCTAGGATAGCTCCCGAAGGCCCACATGTCTCCACTCTGCGGAGAGCCCTGGAAACGCTAGCTGCTGTGTCTGCACGGTCGTTTCTCTGACCGCTGTCCTAAGGAAGACCAGCCCTGGCACGCGCTCTGTGAGGACTGGGAGGGGCAGTCATCACTCTGGGCTCCGTAACTGCGCGCGCAGGACTAGGAGAGTGGGACCAAGTGTGTTTTCACAGTGCCTCCCACTGTGTCTCGTTTACAGTGAGAATCAAATGTCATTGATGTTCTGACTCCAAGATCGTAGTCATGACATTTGATTAAACATAATATTTACATTATGTAACTTTGTAAATTTTACACAACAATTACGTAATATATAAAAATGCACACAGGAAAGGCAATCATGTAGTGAATGTGCTTGGAGCAAATGCAGCCTTGATTTAGGCAAAATATGCATTGAGTTATCTTGATATTATTCTCTTTCATCAAATTACTATAAATTATGTGGAATCTGACACTGGAAAATGTATTGAAAGAATCTAATATCACTCAGGGTCAGGAATTCTGGTTTTGTGTCCTCATGTGTTTCTGCCATGGTAACTCTGGACACATCATTTAACTTCTAAAATAATACATTCATTTTGATCTAAAAGATCTTTTTAAAATAGCCATTCATCATGGAGTAGACAAAATCACTGTACCACAGGAACTTAGAAATCTAGCTAGAAGCTGGTACTGGTGGCACAAGCCTTTAATCCCAGCACTCTCGAGACAAGCAGGCGGATCTCCGTTCTAGGTTAGCCTAGTCTACAGAGTGAGTTCCAGGACAGCAAGGGCAACACAGAAAAACCCTGTCTCAAAAAACCAAATAAATAAATAAAAGAAATCTAGCTAGAGAAAAATTCCGTGGAAAATTGAATAAACAATTATGATTGCCCCTGTGTAGAGATGGGGTACTTTCCAGGATCTTTTTAATGTTTTTAGTCAGTTTGTAGTAGTTCAGGCAGAATCTGCATCATCAGTAACTTCTTGTCACAGGTTAAAATGACCAAAAGTACAGTCTTCCTCAACTGTTTGTGTTTTTAAATTGACAGTGTTGTTTACAGTGGTCGTATACATGTCAGTTCCCGAAGCCTTGAACAACCAACAGGTAAAAGTTGCAACACTTAATGTCTGAAAAGTGTGTACATGTTTTGTTTGCCATTGTTTAGAAAAGGGAGAAAGTATGACATAGTAATGCAAAATGAATTGATGTTTTCATATTTAAGTAAATGTTATGTCATTGTTTCAGAAGTAGTAATTGCCACTGTCGGCTTTAGTCAGTTGGTTTCAGAAGCTATCACATCTGTAAATGTTGTGACATGGCTTCTGTCTTTTGAGAATGTTGGAGGAATGTCTTTGAAAATGTGTTAGAAACTGGATGTCTGATGTCTTCATTCCTGTTCTTATTTTTGCTATTTTTTATAATTTCTCTATGTGCTTGTTCTTCATTATTTCATACTTAAAATAAATATATTTTTTTAATGCTAACTTTATATGTCTTTTAAAAACAAGTTCTGGTACCTGGCATATGTAGGAAGTTAGAAAGCGACTATAAGATCTTAGAGTAAGCCAAGGAGGGAAATGAGTCCACTGATCAGCATCGGCAGAAAATAAAATGGTTTCACTTAAAAATACTGTAAGAGTAAGCGGGGAGAGGGGCTGAGCATTGGGAGTGTGTGCTGCTCTTGCTGAGGCCCTGAGTTGTGTTCCTAACACCTGCATCAGGCAAGCTCACAGCTGTCCCGGGGATCCAGCGCCCTCCTGTGGCCTCCATGGGCAGCTGTACTTACGGGCACCTACTCCTACATGTGTGCATAATTTAAAACAATAAAAACATCCTGAAAATCAAACTTCCAGAGGGTGACCCAGCCAACGGAGTACTGTTCTCAGGAGCCCAGTTTCTCCTGACTCCTCGTGGAAAGCGTTTTTGTTGGGTTCAGAAGCCCAGTGCAGAGGTTCAGTACCGTTCAAGCAGGAATCCTGTTAAAGCAAGACAAGTTCACTTTAACCACATCACCGTCACCCACAGGGGCATAGCACAGCGCCACGAAAGACTCCCATCAGAGAGCACAGAGCAAACACCGATTCATCAGCAGTGCAGATGCTGTCTACCTGGCCCATTTCTTGCTGAATGTCAGAAGGAAGACTGGGAGCCTCTGGACTCCATTAGGAGGTCACTTGAGGTGCCTTGCCTGTGGACCTGGGCACCCCAATACTCTGTACACCATACTCTTGAGCAGGCACTGGCTTTCCAGGCACATCCACATGGATGGTAACCACAAGTATCTCGGGCAAATAGTCACTCAACTTTGCAGCATTAGAAGGCACCCAAACTAGGGAAACAGGAAGTCCTGTACACCTGACCTGACTTTTTAGGATGGATAAAAGACAAGAAGGAATCCCTAGCCAGGCTGATCTGTAAATACATTTCTGTCCTAAATGTAAGGTGCCTGGCCTCAGGCCTGGTGACCTGAGACTAATCCCCAGGACCCATGTAGTCAGAGAAGAGAACTGACTCAAGTTGTCTTCTGACTGCCACACGTAATCTGTAGCGTGTGCATGCATGGACACACACACACACACACACACACACACACACAGGCTCAAACACAAAATTTAAAAAAGCTGGGTGTGGTGTGCACCTCATAGACAGGCAGATCTCTGTAAGTTTGAGGCCAGCCTGATCTTCAAGAGAGTTCCAGGACAGCCACAGCTGTTACACACACACACAAAAAAAAACCTATCTTGAAAAACAAACAACAACAAAAGCTTAAAAGATTAATCTAGAGGAGGCATAGTTTCTATGCATATGCAACAGTGGAAGGAAAAAACAAAAACTACGCTGTGTGGTGGCCCATGCCTGCCTTCCCAGCACTGAGACACAGGAGGATCAGGTTTCAGAGTCAGCTTCCACTTTGCAGTGAGTTTTAGGCCAGCCTGGGCTACGTGAGCCCCTGTCTCAGAAAATGTTTATTTAAAATAAAAACTGAAAACAAATCAAGGAAACACGATGCCACAGAAGAATACAGTAATAATCCAAAGAAGTTGAGACCTGTAAACTTCCTGATCAGGGACTGATAATAGTTGTCTATTTTTGGAGTGCTGGGATCAAGTCCAACGAAAACCTCAGTGCTGTGGTTTGAATGAGAGACGACCCTCACTGGCTCATGAGTTTGAACACTTGGTCGCCCGTTGCTGGTGCTATTTGAGAAGTTATGGAGACTTAGGAGGGAGTGTTTCTTGAGGAAGTGTGTCACTGGGTTTATAGTTGTGGCCCACTTTCTGTTCTGTGTTTTCTTTGTGTAGATGAAATTGTGATCAGCCAGCTTCCTGTTACAGCTGCCATGTTCTCCCTGGCTGTTGCCTTAGACCTCTGAAAGAGTGAGCCTCTGACTGCCATCAGCAGAGCTTCTGGGGCTGTGCTAACAAGCTTGCAAGATAGCAATGCTGATAAATGTGAGCTCAGCTCAAGAAACAAAGACTTTTTTAGGACTTGGGCTAGAGGCCAGTCATGAACAGAATCTGGCTGCATTCTGCCTGTAACCTGAGAATTTGTATAAGGCTAAATAATAGACAAAAGGACATGATGTCGAGAGGGCCAGGTGTGGGAGAATCCAGGAGGAGTTGAGGGAAGAATGAGAGGGTGAATATGATCAAATATATTAATTTATATGAAATGCTCAGTTAATAAAAATATTAAAAATGTGATGCTCTTTCTTTGGCAGAAGAAACTTCACAAGAACATAGTATTGAATCTTTGCTATAGTTATTACTGATTATTCTTATGCAGGTCCACAATGAACAAGTAAGAAGTTGAGGCAGAAAGAAGTGAAAAATGTAAATTGAAAGAGTAAAAGAACACTAGGACTCATAAGATTTCAGTCTAGGGACTGGAGAGATGGCTCAAAGGTTAACAGCATTGGCTGCTCTTCCAGAGATCCTGAGTTCAATTCCCCACAACCTCATAGCGGCTCATGGCCATCTATAATGAGATCTGGTGCCTCTGGTGTGTAGGTGTACATGCAGACAGAACATTGTGTACATAATAAATAAATCTTAAAAAAGACTTCAGTCTAGTCACACACTGAAGGTTGTAACTGTGAAAGGAGTTAACATTATTAAAGGAGGCTTCCTGCTTGGGCAATAGCAATGGTGCCCTGAGTTCAAGACCACACCTAGCCAAGCTCGCACCTTGGAAAGACTTAGGAGTTGCTTGCTCCTAGGAAGTAAAGGCCTAAGGAAGTCTTTTGGTTTTTTGTTTTTTCTCCTGTCAGCTTTGGTGTACAGAGGCTGCTGCAACTGTGGTCTAGGTAGGGTGGGGCACAAGTTGTCAGGACAAAATTAATTCGTTTAAAAAATGAAATTAAGAGCAAAACTGCCTAGGTCGATATTTCTCCAGGGTCAGCATATAGAACATGGTGCAGCTGTGGTCCAGTGGGGCCAGATGAGCTCCTTAGCCGGCACTAGTGCTCTCCACGTAGTACTAGACTTATGGGTATGAAAAGGGCAAGACTGAAGAGGAGTCATGAAGCCTTATATCAAGGTTCCGGAGAGCCGCTAAGGCAATGCAGTGTGTGGCAGTGTCGGAAGCCGTGTGAGGAGATCCTGAGAGGTTGCTGCATGAAATGAAAGTGAAGCCTGAACTGCAGTAGATACTGGAGCCAGAACCACAGGATTTCTGCCAAGAAACTCTGTAGGTGGGATGGAGTTAGCTCAAGGGAGAGCAGAGATTCCCATGACCTTTGGAGCCTGGGGGTCCCATCACTGGCCCTAAACGCCAGAGCTTTGGGATTTGGTGTTTCCCCTCTGGGTTATGATCTTGCTTTAATTTGATCTTTCTTTACGATGTCTTTATTCCTCCTTTTTGGAATGGAATGGCTCTTGTTCCATTGCAGCTTGGAAGTATGTAGCTTGTTTGTGATTTTATAAGCACTCATAGTTAAAAGATAGTGTTAAATCTCAAGAGGATTTAGACTTTCGAATGGTGTAGAGACTGTGAAAAACTGTGGAGACTGCTGGGGATGGCTTAAATGCACGTTGCATTATTGGTTGATGGAGTCAAAGGAGACTGTTCTTTTTAAAGCCATGTGTTTGGGGTGGGATGGAAGCAGGTTGGCAGAGTGCTCCTGTGCCCTGCATTAAAACCTGGCTCAGTACCCAGCACAACAGATTGGGTTTGGTGGTGTCTGCCAGTAATCTCAGTACTAGAGAGGTATAGGTAATAGGGTCAGAGGTTCAAGGGCAACTTCCATCCTCACCAGCCTAGGGCTGTCCCCTCTCATGGCTGCCAAGCCCAGTCAGCTACCTAGCACCTGCTGCTGTCCCTGTGGCCATGCCAGGAAGCACCTTGATAAGTGAATGCTGAATGCAGGGGATCCTCCAAAGTTCAGAAATGAAAACTAGCTTCACTCATGAAGGCACTCCTGTTCTTCACAGCTTTAATGATCCCAGTTTCTATCAGGCTGTGTTTTACAACTAAATCTTATATCTTTGAAGATGCCTCAGAACATCCAATAAAGAAGAAAGTTTTATGCTGTAATTGTTGCTCTTCATGTGGTTGTGGCCCCATTGGTCTATGTAGCCTGGAATGAAGGCTCATGACAGTGGCATGAAGGCAAGCAGGATTAAAGTGAACACCACCTTTTGATAGTACAAAATTTATTTTTTAATATCTTAAATATTTCTGTGATAATGATAATAAATGCATTTTGTTTGAATAAAGTTGAAAGAACATCTTAAAAATAAAAAGTTCAAGGTCATCTTTTGCTACGGAGTAACTTAAAGACCCAAGCATGAAATATATGTGTGTGTACATACATACATACATACATACATACATACATACATACATACATACTGCTGTCTGAAACATAATAAAGTGTTGTGATTGGATGTCAAGGTGATAAGGAGTGGCATTGTGATGGTGGCTCTTGGTTGATTTGACTTGAGTGGACTTACAGTCACTGAGGAAACACAATTATGGGTGTATCTTTGATGCTCTTCCAAGAAAAGCTAAACTGAAGATGGAAGACTCACCCAACGTGAGTAGCACTGTTGATGGGGCGGGTCCCAGCCTGAAGTAAAGGAGAGCGAGCTGAATAGCAGCGCTGTACATGCCTCTGCCTCCTGGCTAGGGATGAGGTGCGGTCAACTGCCTCATGCTCCTCTTGCCATGACTTCTCTACTCATTTACTAAAACTGAGTGTTAACCTGACAGGCTCTATAATATAATCACCAGAGACAAACATCTGGAGATGCCTCTGAAGGGTTATCTTGATCAGGTTAATTGAGGTGGGAAGATCCATGTGGGTGGTTGGCATTTCTTGCCTGTGGGCCTGGGCTGAATAAATCAGAGAGAGCCAGCTGAACGTAAATATTCACCACTTTCTGCTTCTCGATTGCTGACCCAATGTGACCAGCTGCCTTAAGCTCTTGCTACCAGAACTGCCAGGATGGCCTTCATTCTCAAGCTGAGAACCAAAATAAAC